CCCCCCGATCTTCTGATTGGAAAGATCTGCACCTAGCCTTCTCAGACAAGGGCGAAAAATCTCGGAGGTCCTGTGTGCAAGTTGTGCTTGTTAGAGATCCCTTGGTGGTCTAAAAATCGATGAGTAGGCTTCGGCCGCCACCCAGGCAAAACTGAAAATGTTTGGTGTGTTCTACGTGATCATATGATCTTATGCAGTTGGGAGCGCAGTAAAACACTTACAAAACCACACCAGAAGAAATTCTCAGAACTAGTGCCCTGGAGACAGTAGACTCGTATGCTGAAACTCCAATTCATGCATACACAGATGGGTCAGCAACAAACGCTGCTCGGAATGCTGGACACAGATCTATCATCAAATATCGAAACTACCTTGGAGAGAAGAAGCAGACCCAACCATTTGGCCCATGTGGAACATACAGCTCCAACTATGATGCAGAGAGAATCGCCATAGTAAAGACCCTGGAGCAGATCATCCAAGACTTTTTTGAAAGCGTAGTAACACCAAGGGATGTTGTTGTCTTCCCTGACTCAATGTCAGTACTCCAAGCCGTCGAGGGAGAAGGAGACTACAGAGGTGACGGGTACATTCTCAGCCCTGTAAAACAGATGGGCACTTCCTATGGCGTTCGGGTCACACTGCAGGGAATGAGACTGTAGACCAGCTATCAAAGACTGGAGCAAGCCTGCCCCAGACCGACACAGCCGCCTCTTTACAGACCTGCAAAAGGATCATCCAAGCCAAAAGTAGAGACGAGTGGCTAAACAGATGGGCCAACGCAGAAACAGGAAGATCTCTCTTCGGGTACATGGACAAACCCAACCCCAAAGACCCTTCAAATCTTTTTATGTAGGGCCGATCAGACATTGATCTTCAGAGCCCGCTCAGGACACATACACGCCAACAAGCACATAAACAGAATTAACCCCATGTCGGAACCCCATTGCAGACACTGTGACTACCATGAGGAGACTGTTGTACATCTTCTCTTTCACTGCCCAAACCTGTCAGTTCAATGCAGGCTCCTACACACTCCTACAGACTTACAAAGCGTGCTCTACTCTGGCGTTGACCAGATGACAAGGACATGTAGTTACTTGAGGGAGGCATTGCGCTGCCAAGAGCGAAATGCTCGCAGCTAAAGGGATTTGAAAACAACAACATTTAATTTGCTTGTCAAATCAATATACAAAATGGCTTAAAGTAAGTTAAAGGACAAATTTTGTTGGATATCAGTTCACTGTTTTGTCAGGTTTCAATGTTTATTCCCTGCCATGTGGTCAAGCTATTAACTAAGAATTCCAGTTTGATTCTCAAAAGTAGTTGCATTACAATAGTGTGTTATTGGGGTTTTTTATGAATGTTCTCTCACAAAGGTCTGAGGGTATTGTGTTGTCCTCTAGAAACAAAAGCCTGAGATTCATTTTTAAGGTGTTTCCGTTCCTGACATCATGTTTGTGATCAGCTAAGATAGAGGTAAAAAAAATAATAATGTACTCATGATTTTTTTTTACTAAGTTTAATTTCTTTTTAGATTGAGAAAAGAGAAATCGAACAGGACCATAAGTACCTTGAGTTGTGGTCATATGTTACATCATGAAGCCCACTAATTCAACTTTGTTTTGAGAAGATCTGTTGTTGTCGTCATTGACTCTCTCCATTCCAGGGTTTCAGTCATTGTATTCATCCACAGATGTGAATAACTTTATGACTTCACCAAATCTGTGACTTCAATTACTTTCTACCGATTAGATGGGTGGTTGGCTAGTGCTATGGGGTGATTTGCTCCTTCTCACCTCTCAAACATCCATTATCCTTATATCTGCCCCTTCTTTTTTGTTTGTTATTCTCTTGCAACACCTCTAAATTTTGGCATTTATATGATCTAATAATGTTGCAAGTGCTGTAAAACTCTTACTTAAACAAAAACCATATGGATGAATCATTGATGTGTTGATTCCCTGTTTTAAAAGTAAGGGAGGATGTTAAGAAAGAAGCTGACTTGTTTTCAGGTCTTTTGCAAGGACCAAGTTTGTCTCTTTCATGGAGTTACTTACTTACACCTTTTGCTAGATTTAAGAGAAAGTGTTGTCATAATTTTTTTTCTCTTTTTTTTTTCCCTCTCAGTTGAATGAAACAACCAAGGAAGTAGCAGAGAACCTTGCTCTAGCCTTCAGTGTGTCTCTGCTCCATGTATTATGTCAGCCACGCCCTGCGGGCTGGAAACCCGGCCAGTCCTTAAAGCTGCCATCAAGTCGTGGATCTCAAGCAGTGAGTTCGAGTCTCCACTTTGTCTTATGCAATACAGAAGTTTGGAATGAGAACAGAATAGGGAAACTATTACTGTACATTTCTGTTTATCACCACGAAGCTCTTTCAATAATCGCTAGTAGAGTAGAAACCTTGTATGTGGGATGATCCTGAAATGCCACACGAAAAATTGAACTGAGATACAGTTTAAAAATCAAAAACATGGACTTTAAATTTTCTTTCAAGAAATAGACCAACAGCATATCTAAATAAATAAATAAATAAATAAATAAATTGTACTTTTATTTGTCCCGGAAGGGCACTTTGGTTTACAATGGCAAACATACATTTACATACATAAATACATAATTATAAATACATACATACATAAATACAAACATAAATACGCAATATTACACTAATACAGAACAGTGTACAACCCTGCCACTGTTGGTCGCCGCTGTGCAGCACCCTGTGTCTTCAGCTAGGGTTATCGTGTCTTGCTCAAGGATACACCCTAGTGACCACCCTTCTGATCCACGTGTCACCGACACTTGCTTGACATTACTTGAGTCTACACTCACTACTCACTTAGCCACTGGAGTCCTCAGTATGGTTTGAAAGCTAATTTGTATATTTGCGAAGTCAGAAGAGAGTATATCTCTTTTCATATGAAATTGCCCAAAAATAAAAATATCTTGTTAAAACAAACATGGCTAAGTCAGGGCGCCCAGCAAAACCGTAAAGTCGTAAAAAATAGTAAATTTGGCACCCTGGTCGTAAAGGTCGCAAATGGTAGTAAATTTGCCTTGAAGGTAGTAAACATTTGGTAAGCGTTCGTAAATTAGCCTGCGTACTGAGTGATGAAGCTAGCAGAACTTTTCAGTGAACCCTAGCCGCGGTACATTACTCCGTTTTTGCCGCTCGTGATTGTGATATAATATTCGTTCATCTTTTCCGCGCCCGAGAGTACGTTTAACACGAAAAGCCAGCTATGGCGGCAGGTGGAAGTGTATGCGACACCGAGGCTCGATCGAGAAAATAAACTTTAATAAAGATCTACTTTCGCTTTCGTTACCACCCAAAAATTTGCCAACGATAAACTGATAACGCAACATTAATTGTGATATGCAGGTTGTACAGTATAATTTAGTATAAACGCTGTGTCGCCGTGCAAATAAAATATAATCATTGCTCGGACTCTTCACCGTGCTGTCACTTGTGCGTGTGTGTGTGTGGGGGGGGGGGGGGGGGTGAAAAGAAAATACAAGTGTCGTCCGATTTTTAGATTGTCGGGTTCGCCATCGTGACCGGTCATTGAACCTTCGCACGAGGCACCACAAGATACGGCATCGGTGAGCACCGGCGTTTGTTGGGGTCGCCAAAGCTCATTAAAAAGTAAAAGTCTGAGCGTTGAGAAGTATAGGACTACAGAATAGGGCAGAGATTATTGATTTTTTTAAGATACACTCTTAGAGACACTCTGGGGAGGGGGGAGGGGCTGAAGGCAACCCCAGAGGACAAAAACTTGTAAGCAAATTTCAGATTTTTGATGAGTCATGACACCCAGACTGGTTCTTGACAGTAGAAATTCTTGTTCAAGGCCTATCCGAACACTCAAAACAGAATTCATTTTTTTAAAAATAATAATAATGAGAGGAAAATATTAGGCCCCTCTTAGAGACTGAAATACTAAGTCAAGCAAGACCCCAGTGCGACAATGACATGTTGTTGACTGGATATGTTTTACGTGTGTGTGTGTGTGTGTGTGTTGTTGTGTAACAATGCCCTGGAAAATGGATGGTAGACCGGTGGCAATTGGAATGGACCTTTTTTTACAATACCTTTATGAGATATTTAAGGGTGTCGTGGCTTCTTGAAAGGAACCTACATTTTTTTTAAATTTAAAGAGAACCTCATTGTGTGATCTTAATATTCTTGATGAAGGCTCTAAGGCCTTATTTAGCTGTGACTCTCAAATCTGTTGTGATCCTTCATACACCTGGCTCCCAACATTTACGCCATACTCATTATGTTTCCTCATCAGCTCAGAAAGCCTAACTAGTCTGCTCTCCTGGTATCCTTGTTTTTCTAGATGTTCTTTAGAAATTTTTAAAGACTTTCTGGGCCATGCTATAGGATTTTGCAGTCCTGCAAATTAAATTATGGTGAAAAAGACATAAAGCTGAAGCTATTGTTAAGATACGATCACTAAACGACATGGGAAAAAGCAGACTCACCGATTTCACAACCCCCAAGATCTACACCTGGTCCTGTGCTACATTTACTGCCTATTGTCACCCATACTGGATTTTGCCCAGTTATGAATAGTTAAAATGCTCACACAAACAAATCCATCAATATTTGACTTAATTATAGCCATTTCAAAGTAACACCCTTCTCTCCTGGATGCGTACAATTGTGGAATCCCTTGCGTATTGAAAGAGTAAAGATTAAGAACAGCACCCCTCACTCCTGTTGATATGGTCTCCACAGGTTCAGACGATCCCGTCAGAAGACATGTCCTTTGTGATGGCCGCTGGGTTCATCATGGCCACACCATCCAATCACCACATGCGAGAGAACTACGGTCTATACGCCTGTGCCGGCTGTGGGGGTGCTGGTGACTTTGGTGGCGAGGGCTTTGTCAGCGATTTCGGTGACGTCGACTGTGGCAGTGTGGGTGGCGGTGATGTTGGCGACGCTGGTGGTGACGCCGGTGGTGACGGAGGGGCAGGCTGTGGCGGTTGTGGTGGCTGCGGGGGTTGCGGCGGTTGTGGTGGTGGGGGTGGCTGCGGTGGTGGGGGTTGTGGAGGTGGTTGCGGTGGTGGCTGTGGGGGCTGCGGGGGCTAAGATGAATGTGAGGGCAACCTGTTTTGAAAATAGAAAGCCTTCCCCCCCACCCCATAAAGTAGACTATTTACTGTCCCTTTTTCTTATTGTAGAAATGTCTTGAGAGACTTGTCCTTAGGGTGGCTCCTGTCTGAACTGAGCGATTGAAAAATTGAGGTCATATGTATATATATATTGTTGCTGTAAATCTCAAACTGTTTATCTTCCTTATCCTGCAATGGAGATATGTGGCTTGGGAACTACACCAGCAATAGTTTAAAGACAACAGATGCCTTTAAATACAATTTTAGTATTGGCTGCACTCTCAATGAAAATGTGGGTTTTGGAAGAATGGGGATGATGTATTAAGAATTGGAGACTCAAACTTTTATCTCCACATTGTGATGCGACGTCTTTGTTGCGGCAGCCAGATCCCTCTCACAGCTATCCAAAGTGGACCATAATAGCAGAAGGAATCATTACAGAACTCATCACTTAAGTTGTGTGCATTGATGGCATTCTCTGTCATAATAATAGCAACAGAGATTTAGAGGCTAATTTTAAAGATCATGTGTTCACCATTTATAGTTGCTGTGCAGTGTTCTCCTTTCTTTCTTATACATGCTTCGTTGCATCCAGCTGTGACAAAAATATAATGAACGTCATATTGATAGTGTTTAATGAGGCTGCACTTGTAAATGACTAAAAATTCTAGTTCAAAATTTGCAGGTGTGGATGGAAAAAAATCCTCAGCAGTTTGACGCCACAGATATTCAGCAACAACAGATGGCATGGATTTACAAGGATAAATTAACCTTTTACTGTTTTATATTGTTTTGCAGTTAGATTTGTCATTAAAAAGGTTCTTCAGATGTTTGGTGGTTGTGCATGTAGTTGCGATAGTCAAAAAATCACATTTTCTTGTAAATAAAAGAAAAAGAACTTTTTTTATTGTAGCTGCTCCGTTTATTATTTTCTTGTTTAACCAAGCTTTTCATTGCATTTCATAAAGGGCCATTGTAATAACATTGTTTTAAAAGTTGATACAACCTAATTAATGAACTGTCACTATGTGGCTACGTGTAAGATACCAGTTGCTCTATGATTTTCACTTGAAATACTTATAAATAGACAGCTGTTTGAGGGTACGAGGGCACCAGAAAGTAGCAGAGAAGAAGACGTGTTACAATATTTGATACAATGGTTATGTCCATTTAGACAGGTGTTTTGTATTGTTGTGAAGGTGGGAAGTGGAGGAAAATGTTTTGTACACTTTTAATGTGTAACATCTGGAGGAGAGTCAAAGTTGTTGCCTTCTTTTTTCTGAGACCTCATCTCAATGGATTGTTGTTCTTTGAGTCTTGTATTTTTCATATTGTTTAACTTTAAAAAAACAACAACAATGTATTGACTGTTCTGGAGATATTCACCTTTTGAGGTTCTTGCAATCTCTGGTCTAAGTAATCTCAGTTTCTCCCCTTGATGGTGGTGCATATTTTTCAGATACTTTTGTCTTTACAAAATGTCTTTCTGTGTGTAGTGCATTTTCAAACATTGTGATCTGTTCAAATAAGTGACCACTTGACCGATATGACTACGTTTTGTAGAGGTGGCAACCACTGTGGTTGGTTATTATTCATCCAATTTGCTTGAAATTTGTTTGTTTTTTTTAAACAAAAAAACTACTTTTTCAGTAGAGTCAAAATTATTGTTAATGTTGATTCTGTGATGATGTTTTTGTTGGTTATAGCAATGAAACCGTGTGTCTGCATTCATTATTCTATTGCAGCAGCTAGGTTTATGACTTGTGCTTGCAATATGGAAAGTCTTGTGGAAATTCTTTCCAAATGTACAGACAAATAACTGTGTAATGTTGCCTTTGTTATTGTAGACATTTATGGTCAGAAATTAAGGCTTATCAAAACTCCACCTTTGTGCTTGAAAATGAAAATCAGGGCAATATATTATAAAGATGTTCATATGTTGAGAAGTTTCTTGTTTTTTCTGTAAAAGAAGTCTGTCACTTCAAGTGCTACATTCTTTTCTTTTTTTTTTTTTTTTTGCACTGCAATTGTTTTCATAAGTAGATCTCTTTGATTCTAGAACCATTGATCAATGGCGGCAAACTTTTTTTACTGTAAGATGTTACTATTTTGACTATTTGTAGTGCTTTCTTACTTTAGTACCTTTTGGAAATGACAAACCTAGTTATTTACTTCAATTCTTATGTTATTGTTTTTATTTTGTCTGAACTTGTTAGAGACTATCTCCACTTCAGGTTTGCATTAACATTGTAATGAACTGAAACTGGACGTGTGAGTGCTATTTAGAAAACTAGGTTGCTGGTGAATGGATATGAACTTCTGGCCTCTTGACTCACTGAACCCTAAGACCCAGGCCACCTGTTGCTGCCTGTGCCTATAGATTTTTGGCATTTTTTTAAACAGGAAAAAAAAAAAGGTTTTATTACCAAAAAGCCATTAAATTTAGGGAAAGCACTTCATTACAGTGCTTTTGATAAAGTGCCAAATTTGAATTCTGTATGTAAAACAGTTTTTGACGTGTATGAAAATAAAGAAGGATTCAAAATGAAGAAAGAAATGATTGATTAGGAGATACTCAAGAAAATACAAATTTAAAAAACAAACGCTTTTTTAAAAAGAAATGACAAAAGGCAAGACTTTATAACTCAAAAGGCAGGATAATTGTTGTTTAATGCTTTGTTTCTGTTTTCCAAGTGTGTGCACCCTGTGTCAAATTGGAATATGCTAGTGTTACGATGGAAGTCTTTCTGTGTTTGAGTCACTGTGGCCCCAGCATTAAGCATGAAATGTGCGTAGTGCTCAAGGATAATTTAAAGTATTTGTTTTGGGATGAATTATAGTCTTTGACATGATTTTTATTTTTATTTTTGTTGTTGTGATTTTTTAAAATATTTTTTTTAGTGCATGTGCCATGCTGGAGTCTTGTTTAAGGATGATGGCTGTTTGTTTTCTTGTGGATGCATTCAAAATTGAGTTACAAAGCTGCTTTTTGATGTGTGTGTCCATTAAGAGAGGTGTTCATGAACTTATTGAGGAACGCATTTAAAATAAGGGGAAGAATTTTCTGTTATTCTTAGCAGTCAACCACCACGTGTATGTTTGGCGAAAAAATAGTCTGTAACATTTGATCAAGGACAATTTATTCATTTTAAATACTGTTGTCCCTGATTTAATTGTACAATACAAACTAATCCATGTAGTCTGTAGCACACATCTTGACTTTCAGGTAGAAGAAGTCAGCTGTGTCCTGTTAGTGTTTTCAGAGTTTAGTCATTTTCAGCCTGATTACCATGGAAATTTGAGGTTGAGTCTTTTCAGAGAAGTGGAAAGAGAGGTAGATGATCACTGATTATCACATCATCATGCCAAAGAACCAGTCCAATAAAGTTTGGTGAAACTAGAGGAATTAAGGCATGAGTGCACACCATTTAAAAAATCGACCCCAAAAATGACCTGCAGCAAGACATGACAGCGATTTGGCCAGCACCTTAGATTCTTATGATATTGTTCAATTATTGTGATTTGGGTCACTATATTGGGGTGATTTGTGTTGAGTTGTTCGTTCCTTTATTATACTGTAAGACTTTTTGATATGGTAAATATGAATGAATGTATAATTCTGGTGACATCATGGTACTACATATACTATACCCACTGTTTTTATTGCATGCTGAAGCACACATGTGTTCATTCTTATTGTTATGCATAAATCCCCGTTTTGGTTACTTTTTAGTTTTACAAACATTTTTACTGTTTGTTTTGCACATTTACATAACTTTTTTATTTGTTGAAACTGTGTCGCTCGTTTTTTAAAAATTTGTTATCGGTACCCTGCTACACTGCACTGATGTTTGTGACATGTGGAATGACTTGCCTACTGGGTGATTTAGCAATAATCTATGTTAAGGATGTATCAGTCCCATTTTCTTTTAGCAATGTATGCTATTTACAAGTAGATAGCTTTTTAATTCATAATTTGTCTTCTTTTTTTTTTTTTACATTTTAAAAAAAGATTCTCTTTATTATTGACTCCCTAACTTTTTATGAGTTGACTAGATTCTTTATTGTGTGTGCATCTTTCAAGGCAGTGATTTGACAAACTTCTAGATTTCAGGCTTTTGGAATTGGAATTGGGGTTGGCCAGGTCAAGAAGACCCTAATGTGTGTCTCTGCCATTGTAAGAACACGTCCACCTTTTTTTTTACGCAGAATGTGTGTACTTTTTTTACTATAAAGGCATTGAAACAATGTTATTATTTCAATCCGTAACAGAAACAGCAAGTATAAAAACTGAATGCTGCAGTTTTCACTGATATGTTGATTTTTGTGTGCAAATTGTTTCAAATTGTTATCTTCCCGTATACAGTAAGAAAAAGTGCACTTTATGAATTGTGTCACTCCAATCCTGTTTGCAAGCCAACTTGTCCTCATGTACTGATTAATATTCTGGACAATGTATTTCTAAAGAGAAACCAGTGACATTTTCCAACTATGGTTATGAGATTTGATACATATCTCTGGTTCCATCAAAAGTCCATTGATATGAGTACTATCCTAGAACCCAGAAAAATAAAGAAAAAGAGCAAGTAAAAGAACAGCTGATAATGTGGATGTACGGGCAAGGAGGACAGGACATCCCTACACATAGTTGGAGAGACTGGGCGAGGCTAGTGATAACTGGAGAGAGAGAGTTTTTTTGCAACCTATGATCCCTAAGAAACCAAAGTCGGAAGTAAGAATAGTGAGGACAAAAATCTAGTTTTCTTCATGTTTCAGAGTAGACTGTCGATGGACAAAGTTGAAGCAGTGAAATACATTTTTTAAATTTGGTATTGTGTTTAATTGTAAAAGGAACATTTTAAAGCTCAGGAGCACTATTATTGTACTGCACTATTTTCAAAAAGATAACAATCTTCGTATTTCTTTGCTGTGATGTGATGCAGTGCCTGTTTTTTTGGAGTTTTTTTCAAAGAAGGCTCAAGAGTAATTCTTTTGTTCGACCAAACTGTCTTGTGAAGAGAGGAAATAATTCGGCCTCAGCTTTGTTATAAATGGTACCAAGCTTGAGGACCGATCAAAGTCTCTGGTTTGACAAACTACAGACATGACATGAACAGGCTTTTTGTTAATGTATGGCAAAACCAGTGTATCTGAAACAGCGTTTGGCAATTCTTTTTGTAATGATTTCTTTCTCCTCTAATTTTGTCTGTCCAACTTTTCCGTCCATCTTCAGTCTTGAAGGCTCCTGCACAGTAAAACAGGACAGACTGCTTGATAACAATTGCACTTGTGTTTGACCTAAATTTGTCACATTTTTATGCATTATTTGTCTTTTATTGTGATTTATTACTTGATTTACTGATCAATCCTTCATCTACCCCTTTTACTACCAAAAGTAGTATAACAACTGTAGTTTATGAGTTGGGATCAGGTTTTCCAATACAGCATAACAATTAAGATGAATGCAGCTTGTGAGTTTTAAATGTTCAAGTTCAAGTAATATATCTTTGTTAAATATATCTCCATGAACATTAGAGGTAATTTTTAGCATGTTGTGTTTTTTGCCATTGTTCAGCATCATATAGTCTCAGAGTATATATCAATTACTTTTTTTTTTGCTGACTAAATTTATGACCATTTCACTAAATAACCCCCCCATCTGATTGGTAAAGTTGGGTCGGGCTCGCAAAATTAGCATCCGCGAGTAACGAACTACTCGCTGGCACTACCCGCAAACAAGCAGACGGATAATGAGCCGTCTTCTTGTGAAGAGTAGTTTGCTACTCGCTACATCGGACAGAGACAACTGTTAGTTTAGCGAGCAGGCGGACCGAGAGACCCCAAGCATTCAAGCGGACGGACGGGGAGCGACTCCTTACATTGCATACTACTTATACCCCCCCCCCCCCCCCCATCCCAAAAAAAAAGAAAAATTGATTTAAAAATCACCCTCCTGCCCCACATTGTAGCTAGGCATTCAAGGCGAATATTTCTCTACAACCCCCCCCCCCCCCCCCCACCCCTCCCAAGGCCTTTGCGACAATTGGAACGCACACAATGTGACCCACACACAAGGTGAAAGGTTACTCACACAGTACTACGTTACAAGCCTCTCTTACTCCCTTTGGCACCGCTAGTGGTTTGAAACATTAGGCCTAATTAACAAACAATAGACCGTGGGCCTAACCTCGCGTCGAGTATCTCATCTGCTACAGTTCATTCATTCGCCCGCCCGCTCAGTGAATAAAATTGTGGAGCGGACCCAAAAAACGAACTGTCTTGAAGTTCGCAGGCCTTTCGCATGGCCATCCGTTACCCGTTCGCTCAGACTGAGTCCACGAGTAACGAACCCCGTCCGTCTGTTCGCCCCAACTCTACTGATTGGTGATTGATACTGTGTTCCTTGGGAACAGTAAGGAAGTCATAGTCACCAGCTACATGAGGCTTGCAAGGATGTTTTTCAGGGTTTTGGAATGATTTCAGTCAGAATAGCTGGATAAGACTAATTAGAAAACTAACCACTGAAATTTGTTTTTTGTCCTGAAACGCACACATGCCATGAAGAACATAAGATGTATAAGTCTAAATAGTGAATGCCAAATAACCATTGCTTATATTTATATACTGTCATTTTTACAAATAAATTATTGAATATTTATGTTATTTAATGGACTAAATTGAAAAATGTTATGTGACTGAGCTGTCGTTTGATGTTTAAAGCATCCATACCTCATGCTCTCAGCAAAGTCTCATATATCTACAAGCTATCTATTGATCACGTTTCCCCAAATGGGGACTTCCTCAGGACAGGGTTTTACCTAGCCAGATATATTCACCTGCCGTTGAGAAGTCTGCCATAGAAAGAGAGGTGAATAGAACGTGTCCTTCCATAGTATGTTCTTGGAGGTGGTTTTACTGGCAGACATTGAATGAGGAAAACATTTTGAAGCCAGTGTTGGAAGTAACAACAGTATAGTGACATTGATTTTCAGTACCTTTTCTAAACATACTCTTTCCTGATCTTGTTACTTTCAGTTTCACAGATAGACTTTTCAGTGATGAGGTAAGGTCAGTGATGGCTCAGACACTTGTCTTTGATTTGACAGGATGACACATTACTTCTGAAGATTTGATTGACTGTCTTCTTTTTTTTTCCTTGAATGTCATCTTTTCTTTCAGATGCAAGATTTTTTGTAAGCTATGGTCTATGTAAAGGGACTGTCAATAATTTTCTTTACATTGGCCCATGGCTTTGATATTTTATAGTTTGAAGAAAACTTGCTAACTTGTCCAGTATTTGGATATTTTATGTTTAGCAAAACTTTTGATCAGACGATATAGTAGTCTTTGACTGGCATTGTACATGTCATTGTCATTTCAGTAGAATTTACTAACATTTTAATAATTGTTGTATTTTTCTCTGGCAGCCAGCCAAAATGACACACTTGATGTTTGATCTTTAATGTTTAAGTTTAAGTATATATCTGAATAGTCAAGTTTCTTTGTTAATTGCATCTTCGTGTGTGACGCAAACAATTTAAAGGAAATGATGAATTTGCTTCAAAGTATCATCAATAGGTACCTTTTGTTCCTGCTTTCTTTTGCTGGACCGTGATGGGTCTACTCTGTATATTTTGGAAATGTGTAATCTCATGGAAAGCTGAAACCTATCAATCAATGGAAAGCCATTGTTTATGCCACTTATATCAACACTTTGGACGTTGAAATTTGGTTGAACACTATGCAAGGAGCTTTCAGGACAGTGTTATCCTCAGAAATGTCCATAAGTTAATCGTTTTTGTAGTGACCTCTGGAAAAAGTGGCTTTTATTTGTTATTTAGATTGCTTCTAGCTCTCGAGAATTCAAAAGGCTTGAAAACGTTACTTTTGAAGTTATTTTGTCAGTGCCTTTTAAAAACTGTACAGGTACCTCGTTTTGACTGGCTGTTAGACTGGTTATACATTTGTAAATGTGGTTTCCTTTCAAAGGCTGTGGTATGGTAATATGCGTCGTCTACAAAAGGATTGGTGTTGTATATAGTACAGTAATGTAGGAGACATGCCTAGCTCTGTCATCCTGACATGATCTGACTTAACAATTTTGTGACGCTTTTCATTTTCTAAAACAAAAAATTCCAAAGTTGGCAAAAATACATGTTTTTTGGAGGGTATATTTACTCCTTACCCTGCATTAAGTAACTTTTTTCTTACACTTCCTTTTGCTTAAAGCAGCATCAAGGAAAGCTGTTTAGACATTCAATCTTGAGTTTTGTTTGTAAGTATTCTTTGTTCAAATAACAACTCTAATTTTTTAGCCTACTTTCAAGTCTCTTGTGAACTTAAAATTCTAAAAAAAATTTGATTATTTGCTTTTTTCTTCAGCTTTTGTAGTTTCTGCATTTTGGAGAAAAATCAGCCATTTAGAAATTATTGATTTAAATATATATATGCAGAATCGCCTAATTTATCACCAGGTAGGGAAATTTTGGAACCTCCACTTTGAAGTTTAAAAAAGTATAGGCATTTGGTGTTGTTAGTGGTTTTATACCAGTACTTGCTATTGTTAATGCATAGTTGATACATGTTGACCTCCAGCATTGTTATTGTCAGGCTGTCATAAGTGCGTATAAATCTTCGTATTATTTGCTGTTGTCTTTTGTGATATTTTTATTAGATTCACAGCCCCTCCTTTCCCTGCTCTATTAAAAGTTTTTACTTGTAATCTATATTTTAATTTTAATCGGTGAATACTGAATACAATAAATAATACTTTTTCATATTACTTTATTATGCCAAGATTTTTTCAATTCGTAAACTATGATGTGGTTGTCTAATATTTATTATATATATTTATTTTGTATCCACGCTGCTGCTTTTTTAACCTCTTGTGATCTGAGCTTTTTCAACGCTTACAATTATATTTGAGGAAGAAGTGAGCTTTTAATGAAAACTCTACTGAAATATTTCCTTGTGTGAATTTTTCACCTATACTATAAATGCAAGTATAGCAGTATTGAGTCCTGAGAGCTCAAGAAATCAATGGGAACAGAATGGACCTGTTGTTAGTCAAAGTTTCCTATTATGCCTGCCATTCTAATTGCAATCTTTAATTGCAATATTTTTTCCTAAAATGCAAGAAACCATGTACCAGTGATCCTTTTTTTTTAAAAGAAAGAAAGCACACAGATTGGTGCATCTGCTAAGTGAGTCTTTGGTTTATTAACTCTTTATCTGCTTCGGGTTTTGAACAGATTTTGTAGGGGGTTTTTCCCCGTGATAAAATTCTGATCAAGGGTGTTACACAAAAAAAGCTATATTTAGATCGAATAGGCTGAAATATTGTTGCAGCATACACCAAAACGTTAGGAAATGAATGAACTTTTATAAAATGTGCATTTTGCAGGGAAATTTATATTTTTAAAAATTTTACGCAATCATAGACACGCCCGTAATTTTTTCTTTACACAAAAGTTAGGGAAACATAAAATCATGACTTCAAATCGGAAAGCTTCGCATTCGCATTGTATCGCATCCTTGAATGCAATCATTCAATACGCAGTGTGCAGCTCCGAGCAGATAAAGAGTTAAAGTGTATACACAAGAGAGCCATAAATAGATGATTTGTTAACCTTTTTAAAAAAAAAAAAAGTTATGGAAGTATTGTTTCATAAGCCTTGAGTGGATATGGTTGAATATGCATTGTACACACACTGAACAAATTCAGATATTGTCAGACTCTCATTTTGACAGCGTTTTGTCTATTTTGACGTAGTGAAAAATAGGTCAAAATGGAACACACTAAAACTGAAGTTGCTTTACTTTTTCAGTCTTGTCCATCCCGAATTAAATACAATCTTTTCATATATATAGTTGTTGTTATTACTCTCAGACAGAAATAAGATGAAAAAAATTCCAATTTTAGTGAAAGGAGCCAGTACATTTTTACTATTTTTTTAAAAGACAAAAATGTATTATCAGCTTCATTCTATGTAGATCTATATGCGTCTGTCATTTTTTTTAGTTTTGAGAAAATTAAAGAAAAAGAGAGCACCCCAACCAGAGCCATAACTTACACACTTGCTATTTTATTTTGAAAGTCATCTAATCGCCAAATAATACATTTTTAGTGCAAACTTACTCTAGAAGGTGAACAGCATGATTCAGAAATCTCTTTTGTCTCATACTCTGTGATCTTCTCAGAGCTTTTTAGACCTTTTCCTGTACTGTCTTGTAAACTTTTTTCTGCCAAAAGTTTGTCTTAGGCAACTGATAGACATAGCTGTTTATAGTGTGAACCAGCTTTATTGTAAAGCATGGCTTTTAAAAGGAAACTGACATTGTATACGAGGATTTGTTTTTCATCATGGATTTTGAGTGCTAAACTTCTAGATTAATTAGGCCCAAGGTCTGCTTAGTTTCCTTTGCAAGAGATGTTAGACTACAGGGTTCCTGTTTTTTTCCAGATGTATCGAGAATTCCGGAAATATTAGATGTTAAAAGTTGAAGACTTTTTTCCTTAGCTGTTGTCCTGTTCTACAGCTGCATTTAAAAAATAAAGAGACATTTTGTTTCAGATGTAATCTAATAAGTTCCGGAAGTCTTCTTGGATCTGCATGGCGCCCTGTTAAAACTTTTCATCTTACATTACTATTGTCAGTTACTCTAGTTTTGTTTATTCATTTTTTTTTACCATGACTTATCGTTTCTGTTGCTAGAAAAATATGTAACTCCATTTGGCATTACAGGGTGATTAAAAAGCACTGAAGTTAGTCGTTTTTCTTGCAACTGCAACGATATATATAAGAAATAAACCAGCTGTTGCCAAATGTCATCGGTACTTACAAGCCACTGTCATGTTACTCTTCATCATACTTTATGTGGAAGAACTTCTTTCCGTGTCAGTGATGATCATTCTTGCTCTTGTAAAGTGATGAGAGTTCAAATCCTTTGCAGCCAACTCAACAGCGCTTGTACTACCATTGCATTACTATAACCTCCACTTCTTGGTGTCTTACTTTGGAAATTAGTTTAAATTGATTCTCGTATAATATTATAGAGCTCAATAAACGCTATGTCATTATTTTACAAGTGTTTGGCTCCATTTTATTGGCTTTTCTTTCTTGCTTGGTCAATGAATGGTCATTTCATAATTTCAAAAGAATAACCCGCCCCCCTCCCCATTCACACACACACACACACACACACACACACACACACACACACACACACACACACACACACACATACACAGTCACACACACTTACTACACCATCTGGCACCAAGGTCAGTTTTCTGAGCGGACCTTATTACAGTGGAAATGTTATGATGATATGTGTCTTGTGAACAAAGTCTTCAGGACCTTTTTTCTGAGGGTATTTGTATTGTTATTGGGGCTATGCATGTATGTACAATCGAACCTGCCTTAACGGAAACCTGTCTTAACGGAATCTCCGTGCTCCCCCCTTGATAAATTTCTCTTTAATTACCTGTATAAAACAGAAACCTGTCCAATGCGGAAACGGAAAGAAAAATCTGCTCCCTTCCGAGGGTTTTACCTCTATGGAAAATGCTTTGCCCGGTCAGCCGTGATTTGAACAAAACTCAGAAGTTAGGTTCTACTTGGTCTAAACTTAACGCCATGCCGTCGGGCGAGGAAGGGGAGTAGGGGTGCAATTTGGGGGTAGATGTTACCCCATCATGTGAGCCCTGAGAGGTGCAGATGGTCCTGGTAGTGTGGGTGTGAAATACCACGACTGCTGGTGAGAGTGCTCGAGTAGCGAGCCACTACGGAAACTTTCCTGGGTAGCCAGAAGACAGAGGTGTGAAATTAGTTTGACCAATGCCTGCCCCCCCTATCATACGGCCAGCCGAGAAAAGAGTTCCTCGAATCGTTGTTACATGGCAGTAAGTGGTGGCATTGGTTGACTGTACCTGGTTACACCAATGAGTGGGGTTAAGGGTGGTAGCAAAGGAGATGTTCAAATGTTTCTGCTTTTTTTAGGTCAAACAGTGGTCCTATGAAATGCAAGCACTGGTGGTAATTGGAAAAGTAAGACTGACCCATGTCATTATCAGAGAGGATAGCAGTTGAGGTGTGAAGTTTTGACCACTGCTCGCCAACCGCGCAAACGATCCTTCATCCCACCGGCTGGGCTTTTGACCCCCCCCCCCCTCCCCCCTTTCCATCTCCCACTAAATTCCCCTGCCTAAGACGGAATTTTTTTCTGGTTCCCTTGCGATTCCGTCTTACACAGTTTCAACTGTAGTTGTAAGTAGGACAGCCAGTTGCCACCCCCTCCCTCCCTCACCCCCGGAAAAAAGCGAACACAAAACCTTTCACAGTGAAGCATTTCTGTTGTTTTATTAAGAGATCGTAAATATCTACAGGATGATGATAAACAATTACAATAATAAATGGAATTGGTATGGTGGGACCACTGAGGGAATTTTGCGCCATCTCATACTTGAACAAACAAAAAAAAAACAACCAACAAAAGATTTGTTAATAATATGTGAAAAATATCAATATCCACACATGATGAACATTTTGTTAACAAAGTTGACAAAACACCCCCAAAACATACTTACATTACAACACTCAAGGTAAGGTAACGGGTCCTCTCAATAGGTGATCTGGCTAAAAATTCAATACTACTGCACAAGAACACTCCCCTGTTGCTAAACTTCATGACAAAAACAAAAAAATCACTATTAATAACAGTACAGACCTTTAGCAATTCAAAAGATGACAACTCAAGATGAAAGCTTCTTCTAAGTATCACCACACCCTTACCAAAAAAAAAAAGACACACACATGCACAGTTTTGATATCAATAAGCTTGGTAAGCATTGGAACCATAATCCTACAAGTATTACTAGTATTCGTGACCAACTTGGGGGGGAAGAAATCTCTCTAGATACTGTTCAGTGTGAGTGTATGTGGAGACATAACAACCAGTTGTGACATCCATTTATACAAACTGACTGCTTAGAGTAAGACTCCGCCAAACACCATTTTGAAAAGTGACATATGACGAAGAGAACACTGGGCACACTAGATGCTTACTGAAGGTCCACAAAAAAGCAAGATCTAACGATCCACGTTCACTTTTAATGCTGCACAACAGTCAGTCATGACACAACCCATGACTGACAATATGCCGTAAGTAACAGTGTTCTCACAGTTAAAGCAGTTGTAAGCTTTCAGCCTTCATTTGAATATATTTCACACATACTTATCCAACTAGATCAAACCTTTTGTGAGGTTGACAAAAATAAAATAAAAGCCAATTATAGAAAAATACACTCACATACTGGTAGACAAAGAGGTAAAGATGGCAGATAAATGCAAAGAATGAAGGTTCAATTTTGCCCTCACACTCAAAAGCCTTCCACTTGTCCCCACCTTTGCTTGGCAAGAGTCATCCTGTCTCCCATATGCTCAAGAGTAGCTTGAACATCAATCAAAAAACGTTCTTTCATAGACCAGAGTCATAATAACAATAAGAACAAAAAATAGAACTTCTATAGCGTTCACTTCCATGTAGCTCCAGGTGTTTCTAGGAGTATCAATAAAAACAACCCAACAACACTTATCGTTAAATTGTCACTAAATGCAAATATATACCAACATTGTTTATGCCTCCTAAAGCCCACTTGACGCTAATCTTTAAAGAGGGTCAAAGAAAAGACAAGTTCAGGATGAGCAAGGGCCCTCAGGGAAGCACTGAGCAACTATAGTACTTATACAAAGTACCAAGTTTACTCTGCTTACCATAGGCAAAGAGCCACAACATTATATGATTACTTGCAGTCTAATACTCCTAGTTACATAATAAATATAAAGTACGGAGGTGGTTACTCTTCAATATCAATACATACACACATTTATTCCCATCAATGCATGCACACATATATTTATATATATGGTCATTGATCAAAATCTAATTATTTTGCAAATTTGGTCAATTTTAAATGATAGCAAACAGAAAACAGTGTGTTAGATAAAAACATCAAGCAATAAGAAGCAAAGTGTTGGTGTGCCACCACATCCATAGACAATCTACATACAAACATCATCAGTTTACAAAATGAAAGTAGTAAAATACATTGTACAAAATGTAAATTATTTTCTTGCCCATGTCAAACGTGTGCACACACACACACACACACACACACACACACACACACACACACACACACACATACATTACACAATTATACAACTTATTTATACAATCTGTCACAAAATGTAGGCTGCTTTACTTTCACACAAACATTTGAACTGGAAACTCCAATAAGCATCATGGGAATCTATGCTTTCAGTTCCTCACAAACCTGAATTCATAGGGATTAATATATTTCAGTTTCAGTATTCTACAGGGATAGTCAATCATGCAAATAGCCAAAAAGCACATAGCGAAACACGCACACAACCAAAAGATTTTTAGGCCCCAATACTTTTTTATCCATCTTTTTCTTTGTATTCAAAACACATACATAGCGAAATTCTTACATAACAAAAAGATTTCCATGTCCAACCAATTTCACTATGCCTGTGCTAGACTATATGTGAGGCAGCATGGTGAAATCAGGCGTTCGTCAAAATAATGAAAGTCAAGAAACTGGCATTTTTCCACCAGTTTGGCAACTTTTATCGAAATTTCGTTTTTCAGCTAAACACCTTTTATGTTCATATGAAAACACATTTCTATTTAAATTTTACTGCAAAACCTTGTTTAAAGGCAAAAAATATGTAATTTTCAGTTTTCAAGGACTCTTAAGCAATTGAAGTTACCAAACTTTGGTGGCCATTTTCTCGATAATTTTACTTTTGAAAACAGGCGACCCCACATCCTTCAATCACAAACATCTCGACTTCTGTTCAAGATAAATATATATTTTTTTCATTGAAAGCAAGGCAAATGAACAACCTTTAGGATGACACCAATAACTCCTATATATGCCCAAAAAATGACGAGCGCCTGATTCCACCACGTCGTTGACACATATAGCCAACATTAAAACAGACTTTCTATCTACCTTTCATTCCATCAGAAAAGCATACAGTACTCACAATTCCTGACTATTTGAACATTCCATACTGTCAATGTTTCTTTCTTTGTGTCTCCTCCTTTCACCCCCAAAGGCTCAATTCATATCCTCTCCCGGATTTTGTGAGGCAGAGAAAACTGCTCATCATTTAAGGAAAGACTTGACTCACCATCTCTTTGTGTAGGTCTGTAAGTGTTCATTCGAGTGACCTCGAGGGAGTGCAAGAGTGCGAGGCCATCTGAAAGCTCTATTCCAGTAGTAGAAACAAAGAAATGAGAGGGATAAGAGATAGACAGGTGATGAGAAAAGAACAGGATAATATCAATTTTTTAGTTTAGTTTAGTTTTAGTAGAGGTTTTACGGCGTTCGCAACTGCACAAGGTCATACGAGCGTCAAGGGGTGTATGTCAACAGAGAAGTCCTTACAGGGAATAAGACTTACTCTGCTCACCTCTCTAGCTTCAACAGCACAAAGTCCGCTTCGACTATCAAGGCACCCCGGAAATAGCGGGTCACAAGAGTGTAACAAACATACAAAAGAAGTAGAAGAAAGTGACGATAGTAAGGATTAGGAAAGAAAAAGCAACAATTTCATTTTGTAGTTCAGGCACATTTATGAGCATGACATTGTTGGGTCAGCCCATTTACAATTCTACTGTGCATTAGAACCAGAATTGTCCCCCCTTTGGGAATGGCCTGAAGACACTTCAGTCAGTGGCACCACCCCGCGGGGATGAATATCGACTTTCCGAAGAGGATTTGAGAAGAGATACAAGCCTCTCCAATAAAAGCTAGAGTAAGAGGGAGAAGGAGAGCAAAATAGAGAGAAAGAGTGAGAGGGGAGGAGATAGGAAGGACAAAACATACTAGTATGGCCTCACTATCTTGTTAAACTGCAGCGCACACAAACAACAAAGTCCGACTCACTATATTACGCTCTAATTTTCACACAATCATCAAAACAAACGTTTCTGTGATGTTAGTCTGTCAGAAAATGTCATGGTAAAACATTTTAAAAAATAAGAAATGTACTTAAGGATTATGTAACTTGAAAGTACACCAATTAAGTGAAGAACACTGAAAAGGCTTGAAATTTCAAGATGGTTTACAGTAACATATTTGTATAAAACAAATTCAAAGATTTGAGTCAAGACAAATTTGTAAGTAATAAATCCTGCAGCTCAAAAACCTTCAAATTTAACAGGATAGAATAAGGAGAAAAGTGAGCGCATCAGCTGCCTGCACTGTGCTCGAGATATAACCGTAAAAAGTATGTTACTCGAGATGCCACACATACCCAGCGACAGGATAGACTTTTCTAGGTCCCATTAGACCTGTGATGGGTTCTTTTTTTTGTTTCCCTCTCCTCCTATATTCTTAAGTTAGTTCCTCACCCATACTATGACTTCAAAGCCCCTTGGCTCAATAAAGGCATATTTTTTTATCTCTAGCCAATACATGCATTGAAATTATTATATAACTGTCATATGGGCCTATTTATATTAGACAAATTACGTTTGAAAAAAATTCAAGCAAAAGGAAATATAATAAAATTACGAGTGAAAGGGAAAAAATAATAAAATGTGTATCTTTCGAAACATTTAAAGTTTTATTGCACATGTAGAAAACAAATTCTTCAAAGCTTATGAACGTGGTGGAATCAGGCACTGGTCAATTTTACGGCAAATGGGGTTATAGGTATCATCTGAAAGCCTGTTCATTTGCCTTCCTTTTGGTGAAAAAAATAATCATCCATGTTGAATAGAAGTAGAAATATTTGTGATTGAAAGAGGTCAAGGTTGTCTGGTTTCAGAGGCAAAATTACAGAGAAAAAGGCCGCCAAAGTTTAGTAACTTCCATAGCCTGAGAGTCCTTGGAAACTGAAAATTTAACATTTTTTGGTGCCTTTAATCAATGTTTTTCAGTAAAATCCTCACAAAAATGTGTTATGAAATGGACATAAAAGGTATTGATCCAAAAAAAGAAAATTAGAAAAAAATTGCCTATCGGCCAAAACTTGCTTTTTTTGGGGGGGGGGGATTTCGTTATTTTGACGAGGGTCTGATTTCACCACTCACATGTCATTGCATCTTCTTAACAGCCACTGTCAACTTTTGTTTCCCAACATAAATGAAGAAAACCTCACAAGAAATTCAGTTCTTTCAACTCCCTTTGAGCTTAAAATGGAGCAGCAAGAGGACTGTAATATGGCAGAAGCAAATAGAAAATTCAATGTGTCGTCATTTCATATTTTAACATGAACTGCAACAAGTCAGCAGAGGGATATGGAAAAAGAAACATTTTAAGTTTCATAGTAAACGTCAAAGCTTTTGTGTTTTCATTTATCTGAAATGTTGACTCTGAAAAGCTTGCTAAATGTCTTCCAACTGAGAAACAACCTTTCATAATAATAACTGAACAGACATGATGTGGATACAAATTTTTTTTTCAATTCTCATTTCAGTTCCAACTTCTAAATTTCACTAAATGCGACCAAATTTCTCTTTTTTTGCCAATATTCCAGCCATGCACATCTCATACCAAACAACTAAATCATTGCAATCAGGCTGCCCATGCCAGGTGACCTTGCTTTTACAAGTGGAATCTAAATGATTAGCATTGGCAAAATCTTTTCAGAACAAGAAGTTCAGTACCCAGGAAAAAACAGAGTCTTTAATATTCTTTTCATCTGGTGTGAATTCTTTTATTTACTGCAACTTGAAGTAGGATGTAAAACTATGTACAATACATGATGATACAATTCATCTTATAGCTTACAAAAGACAAGTAACAGTGAACATGTATATGGACATTGACAGAAAAGTTACAAAATATTGTTTGACCTAGGAATATCACATGCAACATCATTAGAGTATAAGAAGATCGTCAATAGTCTAAGAGCTTCCCCTGTCCTACCCCCAAACACCAGCACCCCCCCCTCCTTCAAGCTGTTGACAAATAGGGTAAAACAAAGAGCGAACCAACTGAGGGGACAGTGGTTTCTATGACCACCAAAACACCATAGACAACAGAAAGAATCCCAAACTGCTTAAATTTACAAAGAAAGAGCAAAGAGAAAAGGTACACCTTAATCAGTTACAAACTCTACAAAAAAACCCATAAAAACAGCTAGCTGACAAAGTTTTCAACAACCAAATACTTCCCCATTCTCTTGCATGCCTGCCTTCTACGCTTTCAGTTGCCGTTTTGGAAGGAAGGACTGGGCTGAGGTTTAATCTCTGAATGGCTATGACAGTGTTCCATTTTTTTCTTCCAGACTAAGATTCAAAGTTTCACAGCTAAAGCAATGTTTCTTACATTATCGGCCTTACACAATCACTCCTGTCTCTGTCTTAAACTGGAGTATTTCTGCACTCCAGTTCTCTTCATACTCAAGTTTTGTGAAACCAAATAATGAGACTGCTGACCACAGATTCGTTCAACAAACCAAGCACTATTTCACAGCAAATCAACTGGCCATAAATTAGATGCTCTCCACACTCAACAGAACTTACAGAAGAATAAGTTTAAAATAATAAACTTACATATGAGCTCAAATGCCCCATAACTTCATCTTGCTAAATCAAAACTGAAACATCAAAGCTCATTATAAAGCTACGGTCAAGTCATCCCAGATTCCCTGTAACTGTGAAATCACTGAAATTGATGGAGCCCCAGCCAACCAAAAAAAAGCAACAGTCGGTAATGAAACTCCACCAAACAAACCAAAATACTGAAAAACAAAGAATCTTGTCACTGTCAGGTCATGATACACTCCACTGTTGTTTTAGAAGTCCAATAAGGAATATCTTGCAAAGCATTCAGTTTTCAACAAAAAAGTAGCCACACAGGAATTTGAATGCTTTGAAGGACAATCAAAATCTTACAGAACAGAACTGCAGCAAGACATTGCATAATAACTTAAAGGAACATCAAAACTTCTGCCTCAGACAATGTCAATTGACAAAAACCATGGGAGAAACTGTCTCCTGCCAACAAAGTGACAACTAACCATAAAAATGCAAGCCGCAAAATACTCAATGAAAAACAACTCTAGTAATCCTGATGAGGTCTTTAATTGGCAAAGCAATGTACATACAAATTAGAGTAACAGTTGTCAAAGCAGGTGCCTTCTACAGAAAAAAATCCTAATACAGCTACAAGAAATATGAGGCAGAAAGTGCTTCGTGTTCCATTTGCAGTGCAGAAACAACAAGAAAGTATTTTTGCATGACTTCATCCAAATTCCTTTCTTCCTTCGTGAACTACAAGTTTCTTTTACTGTACAAAATACATCCAGTCAAATTCTACCTTACTTTTTTAAAACTAATCCATGATTCATGCAAGTCAAACATCTCAATCTGTAACTTGTTCCCAAAATCCCGCCAAACGGTTAAAGAGGTTAAATCTATGAGTATGTTTGGCTACTTATGGCCAAGAAGGCAATTTGTTTGCGAGCACATTACAATAGGAACAAGAGGGACAATGAGGCAGACTCTGCACTTAAAAAAACACTGATATCGTCAAAGTAGCACTACATCTGTGAAACACTTCTCTTGTTTTCATTCATTCATAGCAGAAATTGCAACTTTAGCAAAGAGTAGAAATTTCTCTCTGTGGTTGAATTAATTGGGAAAATGATATCGTAATCAGGAACCCAGGAAATGCAGTCTGAATTCAGGACTTTCTCGTTAAAACCAGGAAGGTTGGTAGGTCTGCATCCAGCACTTTCTGATAGTATTACAGGTAGAATTCCTGACATAGAGAATGTGATGACACATAGCTTAACTGAAAAACTATTTAGAACTAGCAGCATTACTACAATTCTGAGTCGAGCAGTGCAATGGCATCATTAACTGTTCGTATAGTGCCAGGCATAATGTACAAAGCGTTTCACATAAATTCCGGGTGCATAGAAAAAAGTTAAACCTGATGTGGCTTTCAAACAAGAATACGACATACCTAAAGTAAGGAAGACAAGGAAATCAAATGGAGTCATGACAGAAAGGTGATATCATTCTGAGTTTCTGAAAAATGAGCACTATCTCCACTCTCATACTAAAGAAGTACCTACCTTTGGGCTGCTACCTGAATCTAGAGAGACTTCCCCAACTCACTAGGCTGCATTATGGAGAAGAAAAAAAAGAAAAGAAAACCAAAGAAAACAAATTTTAGGTGTTGGTCATCACCAACGTGAAAACTACTACTGCTGGCTCTAGCTCATAAGCTGTTCCCACTGCAGGTTTCTTTTAGTTGCATCATCTGTCTGCACATCCTTTTGGCTTGAAGACTCAAGACGAGGCAGTTCCATCATTCCGTCTGCTTCATCTGACCACAAAGCACATCCCCAGGCCTGTAGCTAAGATGACCATCACCATAAATGAATCTCTCTGATCTCCCCGATAATCTGGCTAGCTCGCTGCAAGGCCTGGAACATAGAATATGAGAAGAAAAGACTGGGTTTTAAAAGACCAAAATGCTCAATTTTTTCCTTGCGACAATACTGACACAGGTAAGAATAAACCAACTGCATTTTTAAAAAATTAACAGTTTATATATATAGACATATGACTCACAAAACTTCTAATAAACTAGCCAGAGATATATTTTAAATAAGTGTCCACACAACAACAAAAAAAAAAAACTTTCACAAGCATCACTGCCGTACTTTGTTGCTTAAAATGAGTCTGCACTGCAACAGAAAATTTTCACTGAGAAAATATTTGAACAAGGGCAATGAAGAAAAGTACAAATATCAAAACAAAACAGTGCCTATCTACTATTTGTATTTTAATTCAGTTCGATCGTGCCCAAATCTGGCTGAAAGCACCCTGTCACACTATTTTGACCTTATTTGTAGTTACTGTTACTGAAAACTATCTATCAAAATGTATGAACCTTATATATTTTTATAAATGTCATTATGCCATTTAACAGAACATCTGACGGATTTTAGTATAAGACAAAGTGGCAAAAAAATGATAGCTGCTGACATGGCTCTGAGAGGGGTGGGGGGTTTTAAAATTTGTTTTTTTTTCTAATAAAGTATTGCCTGGCAGGATGTTTTCATAACTAAAATTCATGATCATTAATATTCATATTAAAAATAGGTTCAGATTCACTAGTTTTTAAAGCTATTTTGTTTTATTCTTACAAAAGTAGATTTCAGAGACCTTATCATGATACATCTTGACATTTCACTGACTTCTCATCGTCATGCTTGAAAAAAAGCCAAGACCTAGCTGAAGTCTTAGCAAAATTTCCACATGTCACTCAAGATTATTTGCAATACAAACATACACAAAATGTTTTCTGTGCAGCAGTACCTACAAACACAGAATATGAAACTAACAAAAATAAATGAAACTTAGAAGTCAAAGATTAAGTCATCTTCGAGGCAAGCAATAAACCCCCGCATAAATGTATGGGAAAAAAACAACCCTCCATTCATCAGTTCCCAATCAGATATGAAGATGAGTACAATAATCAGTCCAGCAAAAGCAGAAGGGACAAAGACAAGAGAAGTATCGAGTCCCGAAAAAGTACATGGGACAGAACAACAGTTACCTGCAGCATTTCCGAAGCCTCTTTCCTGCGTGCAGCAATATGCACAGATTCCTCCAGCAGTGTCTCGATCTCCTCCTTCCTGTACAGCTGACTCACCAGCTCACTCTGCGGACACAGAAGTCAAATCGTAAATACTATTGCAAAAGTGTATCACTTCATTAGACACACTTTACATCATTTAAAAAGGAGGCTGCTTTTACCCTCGCTGTCAGAGCCACATCCTTGCAGAAATAGGGATATTTGAAAAATGTTACACAGAAATCTTTGAAAGTACAGAAAGAGACAAATGATAACATGACAAGATGCTAGTGCACAGATGGGTCTGTTCCAGTTAAAACCTGCCGTACCTTTGTACAGACCCAGCTAGGAACTCTAGAATCAAGACCCATGAACCAGGAGACAGATGGATCAATTGCCATGGTAACAGGACCCTGTTTTCCCAAGGTGACACATAATATGTTGAGATGAAAAGTCTTTTTTTAATTTATTTTTTTCTGGTAAGTGCGCGGAACCCATTAAACATTTTCAGTTGGTAGGAAATTTTGAATTTTGCCCGGGTGGCGGCCGAAGCCTACTCCTATCAATTTTGGACCACCAAGGGATCTTTAGCGGGCACAACTTGCACGCAAGGCTCCCAATATTTTTCCCCCTAATCTGAAAAGGCTGGGTGTTAGATTTTACCTATCATATGATCAGGGGTGTGGCTGAAAGACAGCAGTAAGAAGGAGCCAAGGAGTAGCAGAAGAAAGGCTGCAGAAAAAGAGTCAGGGGCCCAGAGTAGGGGGCAAAGGAGGTGGAGGGGTGGGTGGCAGAAAGAGGAGACGAATGCAGACAACAGAACATTGTTAAAGAGCAGGAAAGGAGGTGGCACGGTTTTATGAAAAAAATGTTCCATTGCTGTCCGGATTCGAACCTAGGACCTATTGAATGAGAGGCAAACATCGTAATTTCTTAACCACGAGAACCCCCCTAAAAAGGCTACATTATTGAATCTCCACAGACACCCACCTGCAAGTGGTCCTTGACATGATTCACAAGGAAATGCATGATGGCCTTGGGCGTGCTATCCTGGATATTCTTCCTCACAATCATAAAGTAGGACTTGATCAAGCGCTCTGAGATGGGGAAAAAAATATTAACAACAGATAAATCAATTTTTTTTGTCATTGCAAGCGAAGTAGGGCCCTATTCCTCAGGCCATCCCTTACCCACACCCTTCTCATCTTTCACTAACATATCCTGGTGATACACAAAGACACGAGATGTGAGAGATGACTTTCGATCAATTGAAAATTCGATAACACACTGTTCCCTCAGCTGTTAAACAAGTGTATTTATTTGGCCAGGATTAAGTAATCAATATATTACACTAATTTTTGTTAGACCATAGCTGACAACCCAGCCCCCAACAAAATCATTTACTCACTGCCATACATAAACCAACTCATCATAACTCTATCAGCATATTAACTTTCAATGAGCAGTTAACAATATGCTTAGCTTTCACCTTACTGGACCTGTCCATAGTCATTTATTGGTGACACATGGTTACATTTTCTTCATCTTGTCTCTTTCTTTGTGCTATTCCACTATATCGCTGAGGAAATTGACAACCCATCTATCAATTCGCAGTACAACAGCTTCCTACATGGTTTATTTTCCTGCAAAAACTGTATGCCCCTCTCAAAAACCTTTTCTTCATTCAAAAATTCGCTTTAGATAAAAAAAAAAAAACTCTCAGTTCCCGCAACTTCTTATATTCAGCACCTAGCTGTACAGAGTCGTGTAATACAAGAAGAAACCTGAGCTCACCTATGACCTCACAGTCTCTCTGTTCCCGTGACGACAGCTTCATCACTGGCTGCTCAGGCTGTTGAGGGAAAAGAAAACAGGATTGCATTAACCCCCACTTGACAGACATGACTGAAGGGGAAGTCCGACTATAAAATAAAATCAGAATATCAACACAAACATTGTCAAAATACAGTAGATGAAAAAACAAAAGAAAAAAAATAGTGGAATCATACAGATTCAGAAATTTCAGGGGTGATAACAGCAATGAAGCCTCCACACCTTGTTCTCTCTGATAGGACTTATGAATCATACACAGCACAATGCAATGCCAAAGCAAGGCAAACTCTAATAAAATCAGGACAAGATGTAATAAAGAATGTATAATTGAAATATTGGACCATCTCAAAAAGGTCAGCCACACTAGTCTTAAAAAATACATCCTCAACAAAAGTTAGAGGGAAAAGATTTTCAACAGATCACATCATAAAACAGGCTTTTTTCAAAAACTTTGTTAAATTAAGAATATTTTTAAAAAATTGATTTCAAGAATAACTGAGAATGCTTATCCTAGATTTGGAAAAAAATGAAAGAGTGAATACCTACAATATAGCAGTATTTGTAAAATGTATATTGATACTTTCCTAACCAAAAGAAGAGATGTCATTCTAAAGCAGCAGTGCAATGTGAATCAGCTCAAAAATGGTCACATTTTGTAAGACTAGGAAAACCAATAAAAGAGAAAAGAAGTACAAGTAGCAGAACAAACCAAAGCACTAACAAACATCTGCTTTTCTTTCTTTTTCTTTTCTTTTTAGCAGGGGGTTCAAACCAGTCTCAATCAAAATGCTCTATTGAAATTCAGATCAGGGAGCAAGGGATTAGCATGTGCCACAAATAGCTGGAAATTTAGGAATAAACTCACATCAGGATCACACACACTGTTACAGACTGCAGGCAGCCTATCTTCCCTCAAACCAAAATCCTCTCCCTGTAGCTAAAACTATATTCAAAATGTTAGTATGCAAAACTCATGGAAAACATTAAATAAGCTTTTTTTTTGGTGGGGAGAACAAGGGGATGTGTAGCTTTATATATTTTGTAACCCCCCCCAAAAGAAAATTTTAATCAAATAACTATGATGCTCCATCCTTTGAGGAAGCAGGATAGGATGATTGACAAATCTATTATAGGCTATGAAAAAAAAATTTTTTTTACAAATCAAATGCAAGTAAACTGAGGACGAAAATCAATAGAATGTATTTGCTTCAACGATGTGAAATTCAGAAACAAATGCACTCTCTTCATAAAACTTTCAGCAATTGGTTCTAGGGATCTACTATTAGATTTATCTTTTCTTTTCCTCTACTCTTCTGCCCATTTGTCTTGCTCTTTCCTCGAACAGAAGATCATTACTGAACCAATGTATTTTTCTTTTCTCAAACTAAAATTGAAACTTTCAGGGTTTGTACTTTTGTGTCTTCGAACCTGAAATGTACTTGCACCATTTTTTTTTTTTTATGTGTAAGCAAACAAGCGGTTACTGTTTAATTGTAATGCATAGCGAGTAAGTACCAATATCTACACATCCTACCTGGAGTAAATTGCAAAAGAAACACAAAAACGCGGGGGGGGGGGGGGGGCGGGGGGTAAGATCATGGCAGAATGCCTGCTAACCACAAAATAAACAAGGAAAATCTTTCAAAGGCTAACTCACCACTTCGGGCAAGAGATTGATGCCTTTTTTGGTGCGAGCAGGTGAGGGAGCTGCACTGTTGGTACCACTGCTGGGCAGTGAGGAAGAGGGTTCTGATGCCCGGTCACTTCCCCCACTTCCCTGATCCAGACGGCCCGAGCGAATCAAATTACTGATCTTCCACGAGCTACCGTTGATATTGTCCGTCCCAGGAGCATGGGCCGCCTTGATGAGGGGTAACGTATGGGTCGTGGTGGGGGGAGGAAGTAAGTAGAAAAGGGAATCAAAGTTTTGCGGGAAAGAGCAATGTGTTTTTCAGGTACACTTGAGGTCTTATTGCACTATCAGCTCAGACTTGATTTTGTTTAAAATCACAGCCGGTGTCATAAGACAGGGACAGAGAGACCTTCTGCAACACAGTGACGGAGAAAGGAAAGCGGAAAAAAAAGGAGAAGGAGAGATAGAAGGGAAGAGAGAGATAGAAGGGGAGAGAAGGAGAGGCAGAGAGATAGAGGGGGGAGAGAGGGAGAGAGAGGGGGAGAGAGGGAGAGAGAGAGAGAGAGAGAGAGAGAGGGAGAGAGAGAGAGAGAGAGAGAGAGAGAGAGAGAGAGAGAGAGAGAGAGAGGGGGGGGGAGAAGAGAAGAGAAGAGAAGAGAAGAGAAGAGAAGAGAAGAAAAGAGAAGAGAAGAGAAGAGAAGAGAAGAGAAGAGAAGAAAAGAGAAGAGAAGAAAAGAGAAAAGAAGAGAACTGACAATTGAAAATAAGACAAGATAAGAGATAATAAGATAAGATTAGCACTATGGCTGAGTTGAAATTTCTGACACTGTCTCACACCTGCCAGATGATCATAATATGGTTCCCGGAAACTACATAAAGAAAATATTTACACTGACAAACTATCAGCGCGCGGTCTCTTCTGCCTGTCCCACGGTCGTAAATACCTTTTTCAAAGTAGCTCTTATTCATTCACACTGTCAGCTTTCTGCCATTTAAGTTAGGGGATTAATTTAGAATGTTTGGAGAATATGATTAAATTAAAGTACACAAAATACTGAAAGCAGAAAAAGAAAGAGACATCGATACCCAGACAACAGACATACACAAGTGGAACTGAGACAAAAGAATTGACGTGAGCAAGAGATGTGATATGAGTAGAGCAGTAAGCTTATTGCTATTCAACACTAGAGTAGTTGCCTTTTGCTACAAGCAAATAAGAATGCATCTAGTACACACAAGGGACTAAATACATCCATAACCAACTATAGAAAAACATGTTTTTAAAAGTCAGCAAAAATAAAAGCCCAAAATTGGACGAATGAAGTGGCAGTTAACAATGAGTAGATGTGAATAAGGAAGACAGAATCTTTTGTCCATATGAATGCTTTGTTTCATGAATGTCACTGCAATTACTGACAATCTTCAAAATACTACATAAATACACAGGCAAGTCTGCAAAACAAAGTGAGATGTACTGTTCAAAACAAAAAGAAAACTCCTTTCTTACAACATAACAGAATAAATTATGAATTCAAGATAACAGAAGGTGAACGGATTCTAGGCAATTTCATATTCAGGCATGAAATAACAAAAGATCAAATATTTTCTTTAATATATAAAAGATTCTAAAAAGTCAAGGAGAAGGCAAAATAACCTAAAATAAATGATAAAAATAATAGTAATAATAATAATGAAGTGCATTTTTATAGCATGTACTACATTTCAACTGAAAGGCCCAAATACTAAATATGTTTTCAAAATAAAACATCTAGTTTGAGCTAGTAAAGCGAGAAGATAAGAGTACAGTGGAAACCTGATATAACAGGGCTGGTGGGAGTAGAGAAAATGTCCTGTTATATCCGATCCCTGTTAAATCAGAAATGCAAGGAAAGTAAGCATTTGTGGACTAATCCAGCTGTACTTTATCATGGGTAGTTGCCCTTGCCACAAGTACCCGTGAACAGGGGTTTTGGCACCAACTTTCTCCTTGCCTCCTTAAACCACATCAGAAGAGCTTGGTCCACAGCATCTGCATCGGGCAGTCTCATCTTCTTTCGATCCAGAGCAAACTTTCCATTGGAGTATGCTGCCACTATCTTCTCTCTATCCTTGATAATAGAGTGAATCGACCCTTGTGGAATGTCGAACTGATGACAAATCTCTGCCAGTGCAGCTTGCTTTTTGTCAACAGCCTGGATTATTTCGTATTTTTTGTCAATTGAAAGGCATTTTCTCTTGCGCTTGACATCGTTGGTGACACACCAGGCGTGCATGTTGCTAGGTTTCAGGCAAGATCGAGGTCTGCAGCACACCGCAGCCCTCTCTCGCTTCACACGCTGCGTGTGCTCAAAGTGGCATGGCTTGCGTGGGCTTGCTCCATCACTGCGTTACTCTGTCTCTCTCTCTCTCTCTCTCTCTCTCTCTCTCTCTCTCTCTCTCTCTTACTTTTTACACATTGCCTTTGTCCCTGCTATAACCGGTTGGGCTCCAATGAGGCCCTGTTATTGTTGATGACTTTTAATAGAGACAAAGAGTAGGAAAAAACGGGGATTTTAAAAATCCCTGTTATTACCGGTTCAGGGTTATTACCGGGCCTGTTATATATGGTTTCCACTGTATTGAAAAAAAAAAATGGCTCCATAATCTTTGCCTTGCAAATGTCTGATTTCTTGAGATTTTGCTTTTTGTTTGTTCCAAATAATTCATACCCACAGATGTATGCAATCCCCAAAGTGTCAATTCAGTAAGAAAACAATTGTTCAAAAGGCATTTAAAAGGAAACAACAACAACAAAAACCAGGAAGAAAAAACCCAGATGTGTCAAAATGAATAAGGAGAGATAAGACTTTCTGAGTCACAGCTCTCTCCACGTAATAAACACAATAATATTTTTGTACAACAGATTCACTTGACTATATAGTCTTTAGCTTGAGTAAAAATTTTACGGCACTTGTAAAACAATAAGGTCAAATAAGTGCCGAAGACTGGAAGAGTTACAAGGGAGTAACAAACGCAAAAAAAGGAGGAGAGATAAGGACGACAGATGTTTAACAGGAAAGAAGGAGCAAACCGCACCAGAGCAGCCACAAACAACCTGCTACATAAAGGTTTGTTCTGATGTAGACAATCTCTGTGTAAAGAAATTTTATTTACTGGAAACAAAAACTCGAAACTAAAGAAAAATCAAACCAGTAATGAAAGTCTTGGAAGACGAAAAATATGTACAATAAAGGTCACTGAATAAAAACTGGGTACCGCGATCTGTTTTGGCACAAGCACAGCCTAGAGACAGAGAAAGTCATAGGGAGAAAAACTGATGCATCAAAAGCTTTACATGTCTACATGGACAGAAACTAAATGGAGTCATGTGAAACCATTTTTGTTGGGTTTTCCACCCATAAAAAAATCACCCCACAATGCAGACCTTACTGAAGTAATGCATAAGGACGACAGATGTTTGACAAGAATGAAGGAGCAAACCACACTGAGCACCCGCCAACCACTCACAGTAATGAAATCAACAAAGAACACTGGAGTAGTCATGAATATAGCTCCCTTCACTCAATGAAAAAAGCATCTCCGCGAGACAAGTACTAGAACAGGCACATAAGTTCACAACACAACTACAGCACCATAACCTATCTTTCCACAAAAAAATCAAAGCCATCAATAAAATGCATTTACTCTTTTCAATACAGGAAGCAGATGGGTAACTGTGAATATATATGCCCAAACCCAAACAAACAATAAACATGCAAAACCACACAGACATGTACAAACCAACAATATGCACAAACACACAGACATGTACAAACCAACAATATGCACAAACACACAGACATGTACAAACCAACAATATGCACAAACACACATAAAAAACATGTACACAGCAAAAACTGCACACAGACAGAAATCACAGCTGCCTTGTGCTATAATTCTGTATTTCCACATACACAACGCACAGAAACACAGGAACCACATAAATAGACAGATTACACAAACACATACACACAGAGACCACATACATCCATACACACATACAAAAAACATGATCCACATAAACAGACAGACAGACAACATACACAACACAAATCACTGACACAAGTGTACCATCATATGACGACTTAAGTCACACACAAACAAGACTCATGCTCGCACAAACACCAAATGCACATCATGCAGAGAGACAGCAGGAAAACGTTATCAGGACAACCCACTACCGGACACCAGAAGCAAGACAAAACAACAGAAGAAACACACAAACACACACAAACAGACAGACCTGTTGTGCAGCTACCTTGTTCTCTCTCTCCTCCATGTTCCTGTCTACACTCCTCTGTGACTGCGACTTGTGAAGGTCTGGTAAGAGTTCAGTGCCAGAGGTCATGGCACGGTGCACCAGGTGGGCCTCACAAAAGTCTGGGTGCTTTGTGTTGATGTAAGCCAGCTCTACTTGTACTAGATTCTCAACCTTTAAAAAATGAAGACAAGACGTTTTGTCTTAGACCAGCCAGTGCCCAAGTGACACAAAACAACAAATCTTGAAGCAAAAACAGGAGGTCTTCAGAAGAAAGAAAAAAATTCCCACTCACTCAAATTGCACAGATGGTGTGAATTTTTCATGTCAACAAACATGGCTCGTTTCAGTTGAGAAACTAAAGAAACACATGCTTAATGATTATTCACATTAAGTGATTAATTACAAAACAGTATAAAACAAAAGGGGAAAAAAGTTGAGAAAATATGATTTCACTGACGTAGTAGCAAGGTTTATATTCACTTCATTACTAAAATAATAATTATGATCAACATTTTTAAAATTCAACAAATTTGCCTTTAAAATTCACCGTGAAAATTAGTCTTGGTGAGCATTTTGACAAATGTGATCATTTTTGTAGCAATTCAATATTTTCATTTTTGTAAAAATCTGACCCATGTTTTCGAAGGCAGCATCAAACTTTATGAAGGGCCACATTTGGCCTGCAGGCCATAGCTTGCCAATCCCTGTACTAGACCTTACCATAGAATTAGTTGGAGGAAGTCTTTGTCTGAGGAGGTTTGTCACCACATCAACAATGCGCTCGTGCAACTTTGGAAATCGCAACATCTCTTGCTGAAAAGGAACCACCACAAAAAAAAATATAATAAAATACAACTAAGTGCATTTCCAGATAATTTGTTTTCTTGTTTTAAAAAGAGTTTTTTGGCACTTGCAAAACAATTAGATCATAATAAGTGCTGAAAATTAGAGGTGTTACAAGAGAGTAACAAATACAGAAAAAGAAGGAGAGATAGGGACGATAGATGTTTGATAAAAAAAGAAAGAGCAAACCACACCAGAACATCTGCCATGCACACATTTTACAAGTTAAAATTGGTAATCGAGGAGTCACTTAATAAATAAACATGACGGTAATGATATTTATCTAAGATTCTAATATTGGTGCTGTTCTGCATGGGCTAATGATCATAATCATCTTGCACAGAACCGACCCAAGAGAATTCATATAGGCAAAGGAAAGAGGTCTGGCTTTAGAAATGAACTACTCCTTAGTTTCATTACAGCGTTGTATTTTATACCTCATCATCACCATAAAGAAGGCCATATATCATAATAAACAGATCAGGATAATAGTAACTCTAAAAAAAGAGGCAGGTCATACCAAGGCACTGATCAGCCAGTTCTTCTGTTATCCTGCAGAGACGGAAAACAAAACAAATAGAAAATACCTGTGTGCCACAGTGCTGAATCATCCTCTGCATTTCCTCATGTACGAGCTCCACACAGCGCAGACTTGGCTCTTCTAAGCGGCGAATCTGTCTTTTCACCAGCAATTCAAAGGAAATTTCTGGGACAAACAGGGCCGGCCTTGGACCCTGAACAAGAAAAAAAAACCCAGTCACATTTAATAAGACAGTGCTTCTGCAACATGGTTCAACCATCATGAGTCTCTACCCAGCTACACCTAGTTCTGGAAAAACTTGTGGAACTTACTTGACAATAACAAAGAAAAAATGATAATACTTCGAGCATAAAATGAGGGGTAAACTATGATACAGGAACTAAGAAGTCTGGATTTTTAAAAAGTGACAAAATGTCTTTTATCACAGTGATAACTGTCTACACACTGCCAATATTTTGTTGCTCCTCTCAAAGCCTGCACCTTGACCCATTGAAACCACACGACCGCTATAGTGGTCATAAGCTTGTTCTGCACTCAGCTGAAGGCAGGTGCAGCGGTCATAGCTAAACTTTGCACAAAATTTGCAGTGTACATTACAGAAATAAATCTAAATTATGAGAAGTTCGATTATGGTATTTTAGCGGGAAACTTGTTTTATCGAAGACGAGTTCACACAAAGCATTGATGTGTTCATGGGCAGTTGAATGTCATGTTTTCTCTGGTTAATTTCCTTCAAAGCAATCATGCCCTGAACCCAATAGCTCTGGGAAAAGACGGTTTGAGCACTGAACACTTTAAAAAAGAACTCCGGCATTAGATGTCAGGAAGGCAATTTTTACTTTTCTATATCGTCTCCTCCAAACTATTTTGTCTTAAGTATACTTAAATACAATCACTATCTTCCAACATTCTGCCTAAGGTGTCCTCTGTGTACCGTGTTGTGATCTGTAGCAAAATGGCCCAGGAGCCCAGGGAGGGGGGAATTTAGGCTAGGGTGGCTATGTCTCGAAGAGTTGGAAAAGGAGAGAGAATGCAGACTTGCAATACACTGCAGTTAGGGTAATGGCAGTCTCAAAAGAGGGGGAAGCAGAGCTGCAGAGCTCACCGTGGCATTACGTATCGCTGTGAGGATATCCCTGGTGTTCAAACCTCCAAGTGGATCTACAGACTCAAGTGTGCGCCCAAAAGTCTCATGGAAAATGTAACAAATTCTGGCACCTCCACATCTGTAGAAGATGAAGTACGAGAAATTATGAGAATATTGCAATACAGTACCTGTAACCATGTTAACATATAGAGGTACATACATACATCCAATTATATATAACCATTTATTTTACATAAACAATGCAGCCTTGCCCTTTTTGTCACTTTTCTGAAGAAACAAAATCTTGATCTACATGCTAGTCTGTTGGGAAAATAAATCATCACAACCATCCACAGAAAAGCAAAAGTAGCAATATGCCAGGAAATATACAGTGTGAAGAATTACCAAAAATATAATCTATTTTGTACAAAATTGATAAATACCATTAAAAAAACGAAAATAATCCCCTAAACATAATATACATGGAGGTAATGTGAAATACGGAAAAGGAGAGTTCACAATCAGGTCTAATCTCAAGATAATTACAAAAGCTGCAACCTGAAGAAGCACCAGACATCCCCTACACTCACAGTTCTGATGTTTCTATATTCCTCGCTGTCCCTTCAATTGTGTTGCAATAAGCAGAAGCAAATCTTGTGATGATCTGAAGAAGAAGTTGACTCTGGAAATACAAGAATTAAAAACTGTTAAGAAAACAGGGGTTTAAAGCTTAGTCTAGATAAGGTTATAAAAAATAAAGCAAAACAATAAAAGCCACATTTTATAAGGAACAGAGGAGACTGTTGAACGTCTTCTCCTTCACTGCCCAAACCTGGCAGTTCTTCGACGCAGGCTCCTACACACAGCTACAGACTTACAAAGCCTGCTCTACTCTGGAGTTGACGAGTTGACAAGGACATGTAGTTACTTGAGGGAGTCATTGCGCTGCTAAGAGCGAAATGCTCACAGCTAAAGGGATTTGAAAACAACAACATAAGTAAGTTAGAGAGTATGGCAAAAAGGAAGTTCACAAAAGAATTGGAAACAGCAAACCGAACAAAAAAACCCATCAACCACCAACAAGAATAAAGAGGAAAGCAGATGATGAAAAAAAGAAAATCAAAATGCACCACAAAAAAATCAGTCAAAACCTGTATGTTCACCAACATGAGCACAGATAGCTCTTTCTCATTTCAGTAGAGTGGATTTTAAAGGTGGTCTATTCTAAAAACTGATTTCAGTGTACAAATGCATTTGGGTTTTTTAATGTCTCGACAATAATTCTTATAGAATGGTCCTGCCACTACGAGCAGAGGAAGAGATCATAATGCTATTCAGAGATCAGAAAAATACGTACTTTTGGAAGACATTAACATTTTAGGCTTGTACATTTGTCATGAGTAAATTTTTGGACTACATAATAGCGTTCCCAGTTGGCACACTCACCTTATCACTGATGGGTTCTCCGAATGAGTTGAGAAGTGACTGAAACTGAGCAATGAGTACATTCACCCTTGTCTTCAGTTCTGGCAAACAGTCTCTGATGTGGTGCATAAGGAGCTGAGATAAACAAAGACAGATAAGTCAAATATATAGTAAATACAAAATAGTGGTTCCAGTGTGTCAGGAAAACCAAAATAGATAAACATAAATATTCCCCACAGCCATAACTTCATAAATCACATCAATTCTGATCAACCTTCCAGTCTCAGGCAACTGATAATAAACTTAAAGCAGTTAATAAATTCCTGAAACAATAAAAATCAGCAGGAATGAAAATTAAAAAAAAAAAAAACACTGCAAGTGAGTGAAAAAAAGACAGTTAAGTCAGATCAACATGAGCAAGCTCCTTAAACAATTTTTAGTATGATCTATGTCTAAAAGACACACACATCAAAATCATGACTTGATGAGGAGCACAATTTTGCTTTTAATATAATTCTCCCAATAAGAAGAGAAATAATGACTGCACAGACTGAAACATCAGAAGAAGCAAAATTTCTAACTAGTAAAACATATCTTCATTGTTGGGAACAACTAAACCTACAAAAGCAGGCCATGAAACAAAGAAAAAAATAATATTCAAGCCTTCATTTTATTTACCCTGTTCAGTGTTTTAGCAAGGTAAGGGGTTCCATTTCGGCTGGCAATCGATGGATACTTCTTCTGGAGAAATGATGCTTCATCTTTCAGTGCTTCTTGGAGGTCCTTTGGGAAAAAATATTTAAAGGAAACAGATGAAGGAATTTTAGTACACAATACAGATTTTTACAAATTTAATTATATTTTTAAAATTTTGTATTATTAATAACTGCATCTTAACTCTTTATCTCTGAGGGGGGTAAACCCACTACAAGGGGCCCTTTTTTGACCTGGTACTAAATTTTAAAATTACAAAAACGTCCTTCAATGGGTTATTAAATCAAAACAAATGAACCTATTTGGATAGCTCTTCATCTAATGAATGAACTCTCAAGAAAAGAGACCTGTTTTCAGCAATTGCTGAAAAGTAATTAGATGTCGAAGTCGTCGTAAAAGAATATGCCCGAGCCACTGCCAGCGGCCCACCGGCACAGCAGTTCCAACCGTGACGGAGATAAAGATTTAAAACTGATTTTTTTAAATTTCTATGGCTCACAATTCTGTGTGCAGTATCTTCAAAACTGAAAAAATGTTAAAATCATAACACTATCTTGGCTTTACGAAATCAAATAAAATAATAGGAACATTTGATTCATTGATACTGGTCATAAAATTTGGTTCTAGAAGGACAGTCTAATTTCAAGACTAATAAAAGGAACATAACAGACGACTTCTACAATTAGTGCATCAGTATATCTAAATACTAAAATACTTTGGGTACTGTGTACCTTGAACCTAAAGAGCGAGCACCAAAAGGAGAGTGCAGTACAAAAGACATAACATGTGCCACAGTTGATGTATTGACATTTCGCTACCACAAGTAAAGACATCTCCATGTCTACACATCAGACCCTTCAAGAACAGTACAGAATCAAGCAAAATCAAAGTAACTATGACCTGCTGTGCTGTGAAGCAGTAAGATAACAAAGCTGATTTACCATGTGGATGGATGTTCAATAGTGGAATGTGTGAAAAGGCTTTTTTCTCATCCTTCCACTATGCCCAGAGTCTTGACCCCATGGACCCTTGCCTCAACTTTACCCTTCTGCACACCAAATTCACACCTCAGCTTTCTGTGGTGTATATATTGCAGTCAACACCCAAAAACTCAGGTATATGGGTCTTGAAGGTTCAAGGTACAGACCTTGAAGAGTTGACCACGGCCCAGGCACCCTCCTTTGAAATAACCTATTTTGTGTCTCAAAGTGAGTTTAAATTCTTAATAATATAAGAGAAACGTTGTACTTCCAAAACAAACCTTTTTGCTGTTTATGTCGGCCTGACTGCGGTTGACGACCCCGATAATGCCCAGCTTGACAGGGATGATTCTGCCACAAAGCACGTCCATGGCATCAGTGCCAGCATCCATCAAGTCCAACTTGGTGATCACAGCCAGAGTTCGACGACCTGAAGGTATGGAAATCAAAAGTGGACTCGACATAAATTTCTGACCCAACTATCAACACATTCAAGGTGATACTCAACCACTCACGCAACAGCAAAGAGCAGATACTACTTAGTAACCCACATCCAAAACATGTATGCACTAAACAGAAAATCTTTTTAAAATGTATATGTATCCCTGCCAGTCAATATCAGTCCCATGAAGGAAATTTTAAAATTGAGTTAACTTTATTTTTAAAAAATATCACCATTCCCAACAATTAAAAAAAAGAATGAAGTAAATATGACAATATTTGACGAAAATACGGAACTTTTAATTATGCGAAGTGAGGAAACCCAAAAAGGAGAAAATGGCCTCAGAAGTTGAGTAGTATGTATCAATAGCAACAGGGGTCGTAGAATTGACATAGAGACTTGAAATTTGGCAGTTATCTTGGTTATGCCACTACTAGGTATCACACAAAAGTAGAAAACTACTCATTCACAGAGAAAAAACTTATGGACGAAAAAATATTTTTACAAAAATGGACCTCACGTTAAATGCAACAAAATGTTAGCATTATACTAGGTACCAGATACTAAATTTTCAAAGCAGCTGATGTCAAATTCGTCTGTTTCATATGAAAGGCCTATATCTCCTGAGAATTTTGGTGTCACACGTTTACATCTCAGTCAATATTTAAGAGAATGGCGGCTGTTTCAATTTAACATAATAATCAAATGTTGCTGAAGTCGCTAACTGGCTGCAATCCCATGTTTGACAGATAATAAAAGAGTACCAAGTGCATCAAACATATCTACATTAACAGAGTACAATCACTATAACAAAGAAATGAAGCTTAATTTTTTTAAGACTGTGAGATAATTACAAATCAGTATTTTATTGCCTCAAGCACAATGGTCTGTCGTTATTTCAATAAAAACACTGTGCATTGTCCAGGCCGGCACCACCAGCCCTCTTGGCGAGCGAGTTGGCTCAATACTGTAATATATTGAGTGCTCCTGGTAGTTTCCCGGAAGGACTCTTGCAAAATAATTCCATCCCGATGACTTTATTCTAATAGAAAAAGAACTGTTCTTTCTATTGGTACCTTTTTTTAGCCAATATTTTACACATTTCGTGTTAAAAATGGTCTTTGAAAACTTAAGACGCTTTTTAAAAGGCTTTTTATCCAAACGCCACCAAAGGCGAAAAATATACCACGAGAAACCACGCTCAAAGCTGTGTAGTTTTCCGCCAAAAAAAAGACAGTGTCTATTCATTAATCTTTCTGCAAAGCATTCAAATGCATGGGTGTTAATTTTGAACCGGCCGACCTCGCATGGCTTCCCTTTTCACAGCGATTCTCCAGCTCCAAATACTCGGATATAAAAATAACTTACCCTATAGCAACGAAGAAAATCTGAAGTTTTTCAAAGTGTATAGCATTTGGTGTTTTATAGCAAAAGAGCAAAGAAACAGCGATCTGAATAAGGCCTGCCCCCATTTCACCGAAACCACGCGCTCGGAAGGCAGCGAGTCGGCCTACGGGCCGTGTTTACGCTACCTAATTATACGTTTGCAATAGAACCATAAACACACGAGAGCATACACACACATACAAACACACCGACACACACACACACACAGACTGCCTCGGAGACCTCTTGGTAAGGAGTCCACTTTGAAAGATCTAGAGGAAGGTTAATTAATCTTTTAAAAGCACTAAAACACAATAAAAATGAACTTTTTAAGTCAATCCAAGGGTAAAACTGAAAGATCAAGAGTCGACAACAGCTAGCAGGGAACACCCACAGTCAGTTGTTTACGCAAACAAGTTTGAAGTTAGCTAGAGTTTACCGTTCTTACCCCGTACACCAATCGGAGTCCTCAGTCGTTTATAGTGACAACAAGTCATTTATGCTCGAAAAGGAGTCAAAATCTAAATATAGTTGCGAATGAAGAACGCTGAAGCAAAGGTGGCCATGAGGTAATTGTTCTCTAAATAATCTCACAGCTACACACCAGCAAGGTCCAAATTCCTTATCTCGTCACCCAAGCACAAACCACACTCACCTCCAAAATAAATCAAAATAAAATATTTATAGTCGATTATAGTTGTTTATTTTGATCTTAAATAACGCAGAATATATCAAACTTTCAATAGATCAAAAAATTAAAAATTTCAAGGAAAGTCACTTTTTTGCCTTCTTAGCATATATTTCTTCGACCCTTATACATGTATCGCGTTCATGTGAAGTAGAATCTTCGCATTGATCATTTCTCTAGATCTAGACAAATTTGCAAAAAAAAGTTTCTTTCTGACAGTAATTTTCTGTTTATGATCACAAGTCAATTTACTTGATCAACACGCAGATTTTCCAGCTGCGGCAACCATCTGAAGATAGACAGAAAGAATGAGTGAATGATAGAAAGGAGGAAATTGGCACAAAAAGTTCGCCAGATTTTGATCCATCTGCAGGTAAAAAATACGGAAGAGTGGAAGCACAGTGTATAACACTTGGATGCCTCTCATGTAGTGGGAATTCGAATATCCTCCAAGCTGCCTCTGTGCTTCCAATGTAGCGTACGTTGAGAAAAGTTTAAATTTCATCATCTGCATGGGAATTTTCATTGTTGACTTGAAAAGTAGCCTGGTCGGAGCCTTTGTGATCATATTTAAGAACATATTTTATGCTCTTGACCGAAGTGCATTTTTCAACATTGATAAGACAGTTTAGTTGTCGCAAAAGCCACGGGTTATATGGAACGACCCACTGATTGTCGTCAACCTTTTGAGTCTGTCATCTGGATTTCTCCGTCTATACTTTGGGTAAGAGTCAACACCATGTTCTGTTTCCTTTAAAAAGGGTTTTGGAAACCCTTTTGAACATTTCTCATTTTTCATGCAAACTGAAGAAGTGTTGTTTTCTCCACATGGACCTTGGATCATATTGGAGATCACTAATGAGTAGAGATTTGGATCACTGGTTTTGTCTGGAATCTCAGTACATACAACATTGTCAATTGTATCGTGCTTTCCTTTGTCAGCCAAAGCAAAATATGTGAATGAAGAAGACTTCTTTTTTGGAATTCAATTGAATACAACCACGCCTGTAGTTTTCCAAAGGCATCATGTTTCAAAAGGTGCATGAGTTTTTGCAATTTCAACTTGAAGACGCGCACTGTCAAATGTGGCCTGTCATGTGCTTGCTGCCCCGGTTGAAGATGTTCTTTTACTTCAGTCCATTTTGGATTGTTGATAATAAACAAATCTGGTCTTCCATACAAACGAACGTATGTCATGGCATCCTGTTGTCTTTCAAACATATAACGTGGTCCACCTGTGAACGTTGCTGGCAACACAAGTTTCTGTCCTATATTTCTGAGATCACTGTCTGCTGAAAAAAACAGCGTCACGTAGCTCTCTGTAGTCGTTGGCTCTCAATGAACCCTGCTCTCGCCTGAGAAACTGTAATCTTTCAATTTCAATTTTTGCATAGACATCCACAATAAATTGTTGAAGCAAACGCCTGGCTAAGAGTAGATAGTTTCCTTGTCTTGTTAAAAGATAGAATTTATAGAATTGCAGTTGGGTCACTTTTTTGTTCCTTTTCACCGTTAATACTCCATCCGTCATTTCCAGTTGGGAATAGTAAGGGATACTGCAGTGGATTGTATGCTGGGTGCAGTCGGCAGATTCGTTTTAAGCTGTTAGTTTTTGTAACAGATTAGAATATCACGATGCCCAACTGGTTCATTTGGCAGAAAATAGCAACTTCTTTACAGGACGGTGCATTATAACGTCTCTCGTGCTCACAAGTAGTCTAGCATTTTCATGAATTGATATGTTGAAATTTTGAAGTCCATTTTGAGTCGCATATTGGTATGCAGTCTTTATTTTTTTTTATGTATTTGTTGTGTGTTTGTAGGCTGTCTTGTAACATATTGATTACATGGTGTTTAAGACTGCAGTCATGTGTCATTGTCATTCTTGATTTATTTGGTCCTCTGAGTCTAAAAAATAAACCTGCAAATACTGTTCATTTTCATGTTCTGTTGGAAGTAATGAGCCAACCAAGTGATAAACCTGCCCTTGCACATGAAAATTTGGGTTCCAGCCTTGCAAATTGATCTTTTGACACCCAAAAGATATTATTTGAAATGAACAATTATACTTTCTGATGTTGCTAAAAAAATGCTCCAAGTCTGGGGAATTACCCATGAACAGATCTTTAATTTCTAGTGGCAGAGGCGGGTGTGGATCCAGTTTATGCTTCCCATTCCCACTGCAAATACCTTTTGTTTCTCCTTGAAACTTTGTAGTATTACAATGATTGCACATATTTGTCATTTGTCTAATAGAGCAAGTATTGTCAAGACTTAGACAGCATAATTGTATGTAAAGCCGGGCAGATTTGTACTGGGCGTATCTTCTTCTTCCTGTTCTCTAGATCTACTCTGCCTTTGTCTCTTAGCCGCAGGTGTCATTCGTCCAATGGCTCGCCGTTTGGGTGGCATTATTCTCATCCAGATCTAGAGAGATCTAACTAACACACACACACACAAATACACCTGATATACTGTCTTCGTCTCTTAGCCACAGGGCCACAGGGCCACAGCACAGCTTCTAACTACCACAGAAAAGTAACTCTCTGTAAGCGATCCGCAACATCTCAACCTCCCTCTGTATTTTCAGTGTTCACAACATCTCAACTGTAAGATTTGAATATTTCCGATGGAAGAGCAATTTTTATATCATGGAAAACGAAATGTGTTGACGCACCGCTTGTGAACGGAAGCCTCACTTGTTTACAATCGCATCTTAGAAGACGGACTTTCCCAAGATTAGATCTAAACGAAAGTAAAGAAAAACTTAAATTTAAACTTCATAGACTTCAGTATCACAAAGATACATCTTCTAAGTCGAACTACCACAGAAAAGTAACTCTCTGTTAACAATCCGCAACACCTCAACAGTAGGCGCCCAAAGATTTGTTTATTTCCGGCAGAAGAGCAATTTTTATATAATGGAAACGAAAAATGTCTTGAACACTGCATTGAAATGACGAACAGGAAAATCGCAAACGGCCGATGGTGTTTTCTATTTTTCTAAATTTTTTTTAGGCGAATGCAAGCACTTACTGAATTGATAGAAACCTAGCTTGGTCTTTGAACTACTTTCAGTAATTTTTTCATGGTTCTACTTTCCGTAGTCTTTTCAGCTATAGAAAACATGTACACAATTATATATAAAGATATATTACGACAGTACAAAAAGAGTAAGTGCCACAAGGAAAACTGTACAACATAATTTTTAAAACAGTATTCAATTCTTTTTACGAGCTGGAACATTATATAGACATAGGAATGCAAAAATTGTGACTCCAAGAGACACAAAAACTTTATCCCTTCAACTACTCACCATCTGGATCATACTCCCGTGAGATTTTCACAGCCTCTGAGGTGGCGAAATCTGTATTGGCTGCTGTCACAGCTAGCAACACTGAGTTGGGGTTGGAAATGTAATGCACACACAAGTCTTTGATCTGCATCTCAATATCTGGTGGCTGGTCACCCACAGGCACTTTTGTCAAGCCAGGCAGGTCTACCAAGGTCAAGTTCACCACTTTATTAGAGTAGATCTTAAGGACGATCGGCTCAGAGCATATACCCTTGAGAGAAGGAAAACAATTTTAATTACCAAATGTTTCTAACGTTTGAACAGAATACTGTAATAAGAGTCAGAATAAAACAGCTTTGTACACTAGAAAAAAGTCTGAAGCTCTTACGGTTTGACAATTTCTTACTTGGGGTTCTCCAGCATGATAGACATGATGATGAATCATTCATTCTATATCAGGATTGCGCTTTAGTCGCTAGTTATAAAGATGTATAATACCAAATACTTTCAGCACTCACCAGATCACTTACATCCATACTAAATTTCACATCTAAGCAATTGACAGGTTAATAGAAAAAAGGACTCAATTGAGTTTGGCAGTTAATTTCAGAATTGTGGGGGAGGGGATTGGTCAAGTGGGGAAAGGAAAAATAGCCAACACTTGAGAAAATTCCACTATCTGTCTTTTTCTGCTTCCCACGAAAATATACAGTCCCTCCTTCCATGTTCTAAATTCCACCTCTGCTTTTATTTCTCGATTTCATAGGGCATGGACGATAAGAATCAAAGACGTGAGACTGAATAGTTATCAAGTTTTGGTTGTCTTTCTCAGTTTCTCAAATGCATGAGGCGTGTCAGACATGATATAAGCAGCGAGTACTACTGTGGCAGGCAGTTCAGAAAGGAATCCTTTCTGCAGAAAGGGAGACCTTCAGATTTTCATTATCATTATTCAATCTCCTTCAATAAACAGTCATCATCATCACATTCATCTTGACAATTTTGGGCAGATATTGCCGACAATCTTCCAAGAACTGCAAGTACAGCAACATCAGCAGCTAAGGTTTATTTCAGAACCTGTTTCCAGATTTTAATGGTACATTTTATGTTTCAACTGCATTGTATCTGAACTTTCAAGTGATTTTCCAGGATAAAAATGTCTAACAGCTGTATCAAATATTTAGTACATGCAGAAAACTAAACCAAAATCTGGCACCCCAAAAATCAGGACATGGGACAAACACTCACACTAAAAAAGGAAACTTTCTTTCCATGTCCCTGACAAATACAATTGATATGATCTAAACAGATTTCAGTGCCAGCATCCAAACACTCCAGTTTTTGTATTTCACTGAACTGTAAATCCTTTCAGGCATTAACTAACAGTAAAACTATTTCACAGATTATTATAGTCTATTCACAATTACCCCTTATTTAATTTGTAATAAACTTAACTTACCTTATTTGTGCCAGACATTCTGTCAGTTTCATTCTGTATTTCTTGACAAACTTCACTGAAGTCTGTGTAGATCTTGTTTTTCGTGTGAAGGAATTTGGCCCATTCTTGAGCACCAACATTTTCTGAAGAAAGGATTAAAAATTAAGTTACTGTAACTTCTCGAATGCTTAAACATATCAACTTCAGCACAATATTTTTCAACCAAAGCAGTGACAACAATTTGCCAGGTCCGCTTAGTATCGCTCTCACAGAACCTGGAGAATGCAGAGTGAAATTTTACCTTCCTTCCACAATGTCTTTTAGAATTTTCACTCCACAGAGAAACGGGTAGAATTTATTGGAAACACGGATTTAGGAAGTTGTGCGTTATGGAGTCGACCATTGATAAACATGGAAAAAAAGTTGTTAATTTCCTTTAACTCTTAATCTCCGAGGGGGGTAAACACACTACGCCGGGGCCCTTTATTGGTGCTAAATCTAAAAATGACAAAAACGTCATAAAATAGGACATTAAATCGAAACTAGCAAACCTATTTTGATAGTTCTTCATCAAATGAATCAACCTCCGGTATAAGAGACCTGTTTTCGATGTCGAAGTCGTCGTAAAGGAATGTGCCCAAGCTGCTGTCAGCGGCTCATCGGCACAGTGGTTCCGATCGTGAGCCGCTGGGAGCGGCTTGCCGGAGATAAAGAGTTAGTTTTAGCTTTAGCAGAGGTTTTACGGCACTTGCAACTGCATAAGGTCATATGAGCGCCACAAGATTAGAGGTGTTACAAGAGAGTAACAAACATAAAAAAGAAGAACGGGAGATAAGGATGATAGATATTTGATAGGAAAGAAGAAGAAAACCACACCAGAGCACCCGCCAAGCACCCACATAAAGAGTTAACAAAACCAAAGTCTGAAAAAAGAATTTAAAAGGAAACTGAAAACAAAACACACAAAAAATAAGTTCAAATCCTTAAAAAAAAAAACGAAAATATATTCGTAAAAGAGTCACTTTCCCAATGAGCCTCAAAATTGACATAAAATTTTAACGATTCTGTCATACCCAACCCTTGTCTCAAACACAATAGAAAAACTTGAAGCAAAATCAAGTTAAGTCAGCCTGCATCAAGCAATGATCATCAAAACTTTCAGCAACTGTGAACATTTGAATCTGCTTGTTAACAAAACTAATGTACAAGATAACATTTTTCAAAACTTACTATGGTGAAGGACTGTGGTGAGAAGAAAGGACAGTAACTTGAGAAACTATCACACAAAAATTATTTGCATAATATTGGATATATGATTATAATACTGAATCCTTCTAGGTCTGGATAAAGTTGTCTATCATGTGAAGAAGTAGCAAACAGCTGGTGGGAAAAGACAAACAAACAAAACCATGGGATATTATCAATCCTTAAGACTGACCCTTCATAGGATATAACCTTATCCCACATTTGCGGGTGGGCCCACCAAGAGGAGTCATCCAGAGGACAATGTTATCAAATTTTAACAAATTAAAGCTACCAGAGCAAGGAAAAAGGTTAATAGATGGAGAAGAAGGATGATACTATACCACTCCCTTTTACTGATGTTGTTAACCCCCCCCCCCCCCCCCCCTCCCTTTCCTTCAAATCTAAATGTACCATTAAATGTGTATCTAATGCTAAATTGCAGTTAACAGTTTCAACACAAGACACAACCTGCCTTGGGGTCACTTGTCTCCTAAAAACATTCCCAGAGAATGCTGGCTGAATTTATAATTTACACTCACCCCCATTTTCCTGTCGTCTGACAGCACTATCTTTAGTCACATGAAGAAGCTGAAGCACTAAGGGTCGACGAGTTACGATGCCTGTCCCTCTGGGAAGAAAGTCATGGCCGACAAGGGTTTCCAGAACTGAACTTTTGCCAGAACTCTGAAACCAAACATTATAAAGGGCACCAAATGAAAACCATCCATAAAATATCAAGGAATGGAAAAGAATAGTGAAACACACATAGACTTTACATAGAACAACATATAGACAAACTGAGGGAACAGTGACAAAGCTGACCTTAGAAACAGAACAGTATTCAAAGAAAATAATGGTCACTGAAAGTAATCAGTAATTATTTTGGAAAATCATAAGATGGATAGAATCTAAACAAGTTCAAGAAAGAAGTTAACCTGCTAATTTTAATTTTTTTAAATTTAAATATAATTGAATTTTTCAGGCACCACTCGACACAATTTAGATCATTTAGGAAGCAGACTTCAACCCTGTCTGTCAGTGCCAACCAAAGTAAAGCTGAGAGGGATGCAATGCTCCAGCAGATAGACTGACATACTCTATAAAAATTATCTCCACATGTGAATAACTCAGGTCTTCTGCACGTGACACTGAAGCACTCTAACCTCTACATCAAAAATGCCGGTTGAACATCCAAAACAAGGCCATCTTCTTCAACGAACATAGTCACTTCAAATTGAGGATGCACTTTACTTTTGAAAATAAATAACAAACAGGGTGAAGAAAAAGTCTTGTGAGAATAGATGGAATAAAGGAAAAAATGTGTAATTAACAAACATTCAGATTATTTATTACAAAAAGACCTTTAAATCTTCCTCAGTCTCTTTGAAATACAAAAAAAACAAAATCCACTAGTCTATGTCTTAATTTAATACTGGAATAGCTATTGTGAAGAGTTTTGATAAAATAAGAGAAGAGGGATGCACACACACCGAAACATATAAATTGAACCATAAATTATCTATTATCTGACAACTAAGACTGAGCAACTCAGGTTGCTGTCAGAGAAAAAGCTTACAGTTAAAAGGAGTCATAGGTTATAGTTGGAAAATTCCATTACACGAGCTAATTTGCTTCTAGGTGTACGTTACTCTTATCTGGGTTGCTGTTATGTACGGTGGATGCCGCTGTTATATTGATTTAATTTTTTAAAAGCTGAAAGAGATGTCACTTGAAGTTGAAGCAGCAGAGGAGTTGAAAAACGCAGACTTCCGATATTTGGTTTCCCTGGCAAGCTGTCAGTAATAAGTGTACTTTGACTACCTTCTCTACTCATACTATACATGTGTATTGCTAAGCCAAAGCAGGCAAACAAAATGAAAAAGACCCCCAAATTAGCCAGTAAAACAGCATACAAAGTAGCAATCTTCCAATTTGGAACATTTTACTCACATAGCTAGGTTCAGGCAATAAAGGTTAGGGTTCTATATATATATTAAGGTAACCCTACTCTCCTGTCAATTTGATCGTCCACACAGATAGACAGTATTCAGAAAGAGACAGAGAGAGAGAGAAGAGGGGAGGAGTAGATCTTGCGAGAACTTCCGGGCGGGTGAGAATAGCCACTTTCTTATAGGTCAATAGTTTCTTGAATGGAATAGCTAAAAACGAAAGTACAAAGCTGGAAATGGCGGAAAATACGTTCAACGATCGCGAAGTGCATGTGTACCGACGACACCACTCTAGATCTAGATCTAGCCTATGCGTGCTCAGTGTTCTGCATTCGTGAACTTCAGCGGTTCACTTTTTTTGTCATTGTTCCCCACACCCACAGTACTGTAGTAATCATAGAGCCCCCCCCCCCCCTGAAGGCTATTTTCTGGTGCCTGAGCCTGAGGGTGATGATGGAGTTTTAGATTTAGTTGACACCCTGGCCCTGGATAGGAGGAGGCTACTGAGCACTAGATTTTAGATCTACTTTACCTGGTACTTCTTCATCTTCTTGGTCTGGATTGGTAGAAATTACTAGACTAGCCGACGGTTTATTTGAGGTATACAGGTTACTGAAAAGATGCTTTACCTGATTTCCTATGACCACAATTTGTGGCAGCTGGATGGACTCAGAGCCGACCGTGTTGAACACATCTTGCAATTTATTTATTACTGGAATTAAAGATTCCATTACGTCTTTGAACTTGACGAAATATTAGCAGTGGGTGAAGTGATTTTGAAGGACAGGTAACTCTGGGGCAACTTCCTTTGTGAACGAAAGGGAGAGAACTCCAAACTCACACCAAAGTCAACAAGTAAAAAACTTGTTCTGTTCTCAAAGTGAGCAAGGGGGCACTAGGCAAAAGAAACGAATTACGAATCATTGATTGTCATGTGCAGTGTTGTCGGACGACAGTGTTGTCGTGCCGTCGTGTTTACAAAATAAAGTAAGTGTGCGTGGAACACACACTTCTTATAACTTGAACCAAGGTTCCAAGGTATAACAATATAGATCTAGATCTAGATCTAGAGTCTACATATCTAGATCTAGAATCTAGATTCTAGATCTATTCTAGATCTAGATTTCTAGATTAGATACAAGAGTCAAGAGGCTAGATCTAGCCGTGCCGTACTTAATGAAGTTAATGAGTACGCCAAGCCTAGCAGTCTACTAAGTCTAGAGACAGATCTAGAATCTAGATCTAGATCTAGATTAGATGTAGAATCAAGATTAGATGGCAATTGCCGAAGACAAACAGGAATCTTTTATCGGGATTTCATTAATTATAATTTTAGATGAAGAACTAATATAGATTCTAGGCTAATCAACAATAGGTTCACTTGTCTTGTTCTGATTTAATTTAATGACCAATTTATTTAGTAACGTTTTTGTCGTTTAAATTAGATTTAGAAATCTAGATCTAGAATCTAGATTCTAGATTCTAGATTAGATTCTAGATTTCTCTAGATCTAGAATCTAGATCTAGATCTAGTACCAAAAAAGAGCTCAGACATAGAATCTAGATCTAGTTGTTTTACCCCCCTCGGAGAGGAAGAGTCAATCGGCGATTTTTCGCTTGTTATAAAAGTCAGATCGGTAAATTTTATTTGTATTTTTATACTGTAGAAAGATCGAAGTGGCTAGCCCTACTTGGGCACTACCCCACCCAACCTGTACAGTGTCAAGTCAGAGAACCAACACTGACCTACACCGAAAAATGAGAACCTATAATATAATTATAGACCCTCGTGGGCAGACGTTACAGTTTTAGATTTTGAATTGAAAGAAGAGGGAATATAAAGACAAAAACAGATGAATTAGAAAAAGGGGAAAGCAACTAACACGTTTTGACACTATTTGTGTATACCAGATTGATATTTATAATCTTTGACAATGAATTTGCGTTCCGATTACTCTTTTTTAAGTCTTTAAGATTCAGGTAAACTCGATTTCAGAACATAGCAAAGCACCAGCATTTTTCTTTTTCAAAAATACATTCGTAAAAATTAATTGAGATAAAAATAAAGTAATTGAGAAGATTCGTTAGTTTACGGAAAAAGGGATGGGTTCTGGAATCGATTCTTTGCCCACCACTAGTGTAGATAATTACAGGCACTGAGTAATGTATAAAGAGAAGTAACAAGTGGTGCCTGAAATGCCTGCATATTATGAGCTGTGCAAAAAAGAAGACCGATTCGTTCAAATGCACGCCTGTGTCATTTCGATTGTTTGCCAAAAAGTTGTGTTGCTGTGTAGAGCCTAGCCTAGCTATACGGCAACTTAAGATTCCATAGACCAGAGTACAATTCACTATGTAGATCTACGTTAAGACTAGCTTATCATTGTAATTATAATGATCAGTTGATGGGGGGAAGACTGACGTGTTTGTATAGCTGTGTAACTGTATGACGTTCCACGTCCGGACAGCTGGTACCCCCCGACACGCACACAGTCACACGTGTGCAGGCCAGCCATACGACCCCGACACACACGTGAAAACAACGCTCGTGTTGGTATGAAAGAAGGCCGCTGATTGGTCGCAAGCAATCGGCTATGGGAATAATGGTCCACGATGCAGGTGAAATGGATGGTTTCCGGGAATAGATTACGTTCGTTGTGGGAGAATCATGAGCAAAGCCACGTCTGCGGGGGCTGTTCACCCTTGAAGTGACCTCGCTGAATCCAAGCTTGCTGATTTAAGTGCTCGTTGAATCCTGGTTTTTTTAATTGATTTTAAAGAAGAAAAAACACGGGGAATCCATCTCCTCTCGCTGATTCCGAGTTCCACTATCGGTATCAAAGCTCACGCTTCTCATCAAACTACATATATATATATACAGGTAGTAGAAAGACAAATAAAGAAATGGTTTAATTTTATCCATAACCAAGACTCGGCCAGAACGAGCTATAACGATGTAAACGAGTGTAAAGAACTGAGATGAAGGTTACGAGTCGATTCGTCGGGTCTGACCGCCTCACACAATGTGTGTAAGAAAAACAACACACTTCACTTTGTTCTCATGTTGTAGAACCTGCCCTTTCTGTCAAACAGTCAATAGTCTATTTATAGTGATGACCTGATAGGCTAAAACAATATGCTTTGAAGGGATGCCACTCTCTTTTTATTTAAAAGTTAGTAGAAGCTGAAATATCAACAAAAAAATACAGGGGTTTGAGCTGCTGTATGAGATACGTTTACACAGCACTGAGCGGCGAACTATCGGTCCGTATGAGATACATCTACTCTGCAGTGAACGAAGGGATTAAAGAATCTAAAATAAGAATTATGGAGTCTCCCCTCATGATCTTGAGGGATCCAGATTTAGCCCCATCGATAACTAGGCCTATGGAGTGTGGGTTTTGGCTCCACCGACAATTACCTCTGGCATGGTTCTAATTCTATACGATTACTTTTTTATAGGAATCTAAGAATCGAGTCCAGCCTCCTAATTACTTTCTACTTAATGTGTTTTCTGTCAGGGAGTCCATGATTTCTTCCCATGGTTACACCCTTAGATGATTGCAATTGCGTTACATCCGGCGAGTCATGAGTACCACTTCTATGGAGTCCTACCCTAGATAATTACAGTCGAACCTTTGTAAGACAGAATCGCAAGGGAGCAACACAAAAAAATGCGTCTTACTAATCTTAGACAGGAGAGTTTTTGGGGGAGGAGGAGGTTCCAGAGGCCCAGCCGATGGGATCAAAGGTTGCTTGGCTGGTCGAAGCTTTCCTAGCCTCTCTGGTAATGGCATGGATCATTCCTACTTTTATTCAATGTCACCAGTGCTTGCATTTCGTAGGACCACTGTTTGACCTATTAAAAACAGAACTTTGCTTCCACCTTTAGTCTTGGCCCCATCCATCAGTGTAATAGTAATTTAGCACAGTCAACCAATGGTACCCTTCCATGCATGTAACAACGATTCAAGGAGCTATTTTCTTGGCTGGCGTATGATCAGAGCAGTAGGCATTGCTCAAACTAATTTCACACCTCTGGCCTCAGGCAACCCATAAAGTTTCCACACAGGAACACCACTCGAGCACTTTCACAGGTACTGATGAGATTTCATACGCACACCACCCTACCATCTGCATTGCTGAGGGCTTACATAGATGGGGTAACATCTACCCATAAATTGTACCCATACTCGCCTGGCAGCATAGTGTTAAGTTTAGAGCCGATGGAACGAAACTTGATAATGATAATGATACAGTAGAACTTGACTATAGCGGCACCCGCTGCAGTGGGACCATCCCTACAGTGGGAACTTGCCAGATTCCTCTTTTTTTGTCTATTATAATGTAAACTCAATTAACTGTGCTTGGATTTTATAGGGCAAGAAAAGGCCCAATCTGGATACAGCGTGAGAGATCAAGTGAGCTCTAGCTGGGGGAAGGGGGGTTGGGTGGCTTTAGATGGGCTCCAAACAGTCAGCGATGCTGCGTTGTGACTAGCCAGTCCAATGATGAGTAAGGTGAGACAGGCGGCAGAGAGAGATGGTGCGGAGAGCAGCATTAGGACCTACGTGAGCCACTCCAAAAGTGATGTGCCATAGCCCTAGGCCTAGGCTGGCCAAAAAGACAGTAAAAGAAAAGGAGAACGTGTAGTGTGTGATTTTTCGGTAATTCCCCTTTGCATTCCTGTTGTGGGAACTTGCCTACAGCAAGATTTTTCTTCTGGAAGTAAAAGTCCGGCTGTAGCCATGTTTAACTAGCTTTGTTTGAAATCGGGCTGAGTGGGCAAAGCATTTTCCATCCTAGACAGGTAAAAACCCTTGGAAAGGATGGAATTTCTCTTTCTGTTCCCGTGTCAAACAGGTTTCTGTTTTATAGAGGTAATTATAGAGGAATTTTTCAGGGGGGGGGGGGAGTCAGGTGGAAATTCCGTTATGACAGAGGTGTCTTACACAGGTTTCCATTAAGGCAGGTTCGACTGTACATTATTTTTTTCTGCCGAGCAGCAATTAGGCTACTTCCGGGGAGTAGCAATTACTTCCAATGAGTCCAATACCTAGCCATTTATCGGTTACCTGGTGGCTCTGAACAGCTTCATCAAGATTCAGGATAACCTCGATTTCGGGACACTGCAAGACGTCAACTTTATTTTTTCAAAAATAATTCTAAACAAAGAAGAGAACTCTAAAATATTAATTTACGAGGAGTAATTGGTAATCTTGGGAATCAGTTAATAATAATAATAAATAGCTTTTATATAGCGCATGTCCCCACTCAAAAGCAAGCTCTATGCGCTTTACACTCTATTATTACCCCAGCAGACCATAGAATACTCAAAAACATTCTCAGCTTCCCAGGAAGCATACAGTGCAAGCAGCTGGTTAAGCGCTCAAACACTAACAAACTGACAAGATCTTTCACTGTCTATAGCTGGGTACCCATTTTCACCTGGGTGAAGTGTGGAAAATTCGTGTAAAGTGCCTTTCCCAAGGACACAACGTTAGACGCTTGGCTCGAATCCCCGAACCCGTAACCTCACGTTTATGAGTTCAGCAGCCTAACCACTAGGCCACCGACACCACTGGGAATGTTTTTTTGCCTCTCTAATTTCTAGAGTTCAAGAGTGTGTTGTTTGTGATAGTGTTCAAGATTTTTAGATATACTGGACTATAGTATAACTTATTCACCTTCCTCGGTCTGTGTTTAAAAAATTCCAGCTCATATGATATTAATTTACCTATGCCCGTGAAAATTTTTTTGGTGCTCCAGTCGGCCAGTGACCAAACAAATTTTTTTGTAGAATCTTGATTCAGTAATATTTTTTTTTTTTTAAATCATGTTTGTGCCCTTTATTAAACTGCCCTTTGGGTGCATCTACACAGGATCACTAAAATAAATAATTCACAGTAACTTTGCCTACAAATTGCTCATATTGAGACAGCAAAACCACCTTGTCCACCACATTTCAGCATAAGCTTGTAGATTTTCTCCCTAGACTGTCTAGTTATCTCAACGTGTGCATCTCGAAAACTGCTCTCCTGACTTTTGGACCTTGTTTCATAGACATGCATTAAAGCGTAGTGTTTATCATCAAAATATGTCAACTTTTTTATGTTTTAGGTGAGTATGCTGTAAATTCCCTATTATTTTATTGACCCGCTTTTGGCTTACATCTAATGAAAAGTGTTGGAGCCATAGTTTGCAGTGACCTTCATTAATGAGCATTTAGATTCTGATGGTCATCCACTTACACCAGGATGTAAAGACCTGAGAGTGAAAGGCACTGTTATATCCAATGACAAGCCGTGGCTGACACCACTTTAAGTTTAAGTCCTACTTTCATCAAGATCACTTTTCATATCAAATCCACAACATCCTCTCAGAACTTAGAAAATTGATCAGTTTAAAAGTTATTATATTTCATTGTTTTCACTCACCCATGGTTATTATTTATTAACTCTGCTCATTTGCTCAATATTGCCCTCAGACCTGACCAATCGTGATGAGTGAGTATGCGCGTCGAATGTCTTTCCTTGCTTCTCGTATCTTCGGAGAGGTAGTGAAAGGAACGTCCCACAGAAATGAGAAAGTGGTGCAATTGCTAAGAGCAAAACCCATGGACAAGAACAACTTTATCGTCAATTACTACCCCCCTTACATGAAAATGGACCTGGCTTTCCAGAATCTCCGTCACCATGGATTGTACAGGTGTGTACAAGTTTTTTTATTCCATCTGAAACAGGATCCTGTTTTGATAAAGGCATGCTTCATCTTTTTATCTTCTTGTATAAAAATAAAAACATATAATACAATCAAACCTCGTTATACTGCCACCTTTAGGATGGGCATGAAGTTGGCAGAACAGCTGGGCTGACGGTTCAGGTAGGTTCCTCTGTTGTATAGCCCTGACTGCCCAACATCAAGGACCATTTTTCTGCTGTGGCATCTTGTAAAGTGTCTTATTTCTTTGTGATATACAGTATACATGTACACATTTGCATTTCAGAGCCAGGGGTCTTCTCTCTCTCTCTCTCTCTCTCTCTCTCTCTCTCTCTCTCTCTCTCTCTCTCTCTCTCTCTCTCTCTCTCTCTCTCTCTCTCTCCCCCTCCCTCCCTCCTTCCCTCCTTCCCCCTCCCTCCCTCCCTCCCTCCCTCCCCCTCTCTCTCTCTCTCTCTCTCTCTCTCTCTCTCTCTCTCTCTCTCTCTCTCTCTCTCTCTCTCTCTCTCTCTCTCTCTCATGGAAGAAAGATTATCAAGTAGCCAACGAGTGGGTGTTGTGTGCAGTGTGTACCTCTCAATTTTCAGGGAGAAAAGCTACTTCATAACCTATTACTTATTATACATGTATTTTGATAATTTTATGGTGTCCTTGTATACAGTGAAAACCTGATATAACAGGGATGTAGGGAGTAGAGAAAATGTCCTGTTATATCCGATCCCTGTTAAATCAGAAATGCAAGGAAAGTAAGCATTTGTGGACTAATCCAGCTGTACTTATTCATGGGTAGTTTCCCTTGCCACAAGTACCCACTAACAGGGGTTTTGGCACCAACTTTCTCCTTGCCTCCTTAAACCACATCAGAAGAGCTTGGTCCACAGCATCTGCATCGGGTAGTCTCATCTTCTTTCAATCCAGAGCAAACTTTCCATTGGAGTATGCTGCCACTATCTTCTCTCTATCATTGATAATGGTATGAATCAACCCTTGTGGAATGTCGAACAGTGGAGCTTGCTTTTTGTCAACAGTCTGGATCATTTCGTATTTTTTGTCAATTGAAGGCCTTTTCTCTTGCGCTTGGCATCGTTGGTGACACATTACGCGTGCGAGTTGCAAGGTTTTGGGCTAAATCGAGGTCTGCAGCACACCGCAGCCCTCTCTCGCTACACACACTGCGTGTGCTTGCAGTGGCATGGCTTGCGTGGGCTTGCTCCATCACTGTGTTACTCTCTTTCTCTCTCTCTCTCTCTCTCTCTCTCTCTCTCTCTCTTTCTCTCTGTCTCTCTCTCTCTCTCTCTTACTTTTTACACATTGTTAACGAGCCTTTGTCCCTGCTATAACCGGTTGGGCTCCGATGAGGCCCTGTTATTGCCGATGACTTTTAATAGAGACAAAGAGTAGGAAAAATCAGGGATTTAAAAAATCCCTGTTATTACCGGGCCTGTTATATATGGTTTCCACTAGTTATTTTCATGCGAAGAATATAAGCACATAACATACTAATTGCTGTTTGTCTTTTATTTTCCCATCTTTGTTGTGTTTTAGATTTGTTGGCTTTTTAATTTTTTAAAAATTGTTCTGATGTGTTGTTTTTCAAATTTTTTTGTGTGTATACAGTGTAATGTAATTTAATTTGATGCTGTTCCTACCCTTTTAAAATTTATGTTTTGTTATGTTAGAGCGTGTCTCCACCAAAGCCGAATACTGACTATTACTGACAGTGGCAGGCTCCTTGTGTGTGATTCCATAATTTACTTGTAATATCCTGTACTTTTCCTTGAATTACTCACGTCTAGGGTTAAAATGGCCAATCTTCGGATAGGTGAACACACGCCCTTATTTGTTGATTCTTTGTGGTTGTATATGTGCTCTTCTAATTTTGATTTCATTCTGTTGTGAAACCTCTATATTTCACGTTTTTACATTGTGTGGCTACAAGTGATATTCTGGAGGCTTAAAACAGAGCACAAGAAATTCTGCTGCTTTAGATTAAGTTACCTCTATCAACATGTTGCTACAAACGTCGTCACAGAGAGTTGAAAGCTTGAAAATTAATGGCAACTTATATATTGCAATTTTTGCCATTTTTTGTGGCAAATTTCGGCAACTTTTAGACCAAAAAATGGTAACTAATGGGGCTTGACGATATAATAAGCACGATATAATAAGCAGGATGGTCTTTTTTTTTCACCTTGAAAGTCTCCATTTTTTGTTGTTGTTGTGAAGGTCCAAAAGAAATTTAAAAAGTCTCAGTCTTCCATTGACTATACCTCCTTAATTAAAATTAAATGGCTCTGGCCTAATTGTGTGACTGCTGCAACTTTGCTTTTTTGGGGGGTTTCAGAATCTGAGACTTAATGACTTTAAACAAAGTTTATTTTCAAATACTAATGTCAAATGGGGAGTAGATCTAGTTCTGGTAAAAATCTCATGAAAGTGATTTATTCATGGGTCTCAATGTTCCACTAGTTAGCAGATTTCCGCTTCTGCCATTTCTTCCACTAATCTCCACTACCTACTAAAGCACCACCACTCTCTGTACATAATCAAGATTGTAAATATTTAGTAAGTGACTCTTTTACTTGAAATTATCTCCCAAATAATGGAATGTTTCACGAAAATGGTCTTTTGTCACAATCTCGCAGAAAGTTCCTCCTTTTTTAAAATTCTGAGTTGAGAGTTGAGACCCATGTTTATTACAGGGTGTAAATTCTCCCCCCTCTTAAGTGAGGCTGCACTCACTGATGTATAGGGGTGAGATTTTTCTAGAATTCTACTTGTGTAGATTGTACCAGAATGTGTCCTGCTTTTTATATGTAATGCTACATTACTACTTTCCACTTGTAGACCATTACGCTCATGAAATCATAATGTACTGTAATAATTATGTTTTAAGATTCCTCTGTGCTGTAATTGAAAATGATGAATATCAGAATTGATACTTGCCATTATTTTTTTTATCATCAGAGATGAGCATCAGGACTTTAAAGAGGAAATGATACGACAGAGAATCTTGCGTGGTAAAATCAAGCCCAAGAAAGGAGAGGGAAAGAGAGCGATGAAGAGGAAATCATGATAAAAATCATTGTTTGTGCTGTTTTGTCCTTTGAGATGCTGTATGAATGTCCCATAGACTTGCATTTTTTTTAGTTGAATGACATTAGAGTAATAAATAAATCTTTATTATATAATATTGGCTTCTTTGGGTTTTTTAATTATTATTTTAAAATCCCCCCATCAACACAATTCATATCATTTAGGAGGTGTGCTTTGGTATCACCTTTCAGGACCAACCTGCGCTGAGATGGAAGCAATGTCCCTACAGAAAGACAGGGATGCTTGCAATAAAAATTCTACCCTCACCTGAATCGAACTCTACATGTTGACTGTGTGCCCTTTTAGACTGTGCTGTTAATTAAAAACACCCACAGACACGGTGGCTTCTTTGTTTATGGGTTTCTGACACTGAATTGTAAGTTTAGGTACAGTACCTTGTGGTATAAAATAGCCGAGTTATTTTTGAGAATACTGTCTTTCTGAAATGTGTGACTGAAAGAAACTTGAGAGTTCCAAATAATACAATGTAGCCTCTCTGCATCGACATCGTCGAGGCCAGAAAAAAATGTCGTTATAGAGAGGCTACCAAAAATTACTAATGATATACAGTCGAACCTGCCTTAATGGAAACCTGTGTAAAACGGAAACCTATCTTAACGGAATCTCCCCGCTCCCCCCTTGATATATTCCTCTTTAATTTCCCGTATAAAACGGAAACCTGTCCAGCGTGGAAACGGAAAGAAAAGTCTGCTCCCTTCCGAGGGTTTCACCTGTCTAAGACGGAAAATGCTTTGCCCGCTCAGCCCTGATTTGAAACAAAACTCGCAAGCTGGGCGAGGAAGGGGAGTAGGGTTGCAATTTGGGGGTAGATGTTACCCCATCATGTGAGCCCTGAGCGATGCAGGTGGTCAGTGTAGTGTGGGTGTGAAATCTCATGACTGCCCGTGAGAGTGCTCAAGTAGCGAGCCTCTACGGAAACTTTCCTGGGTAGCCAGAAGCCAGAGGTGTGAAATTAGATTGACCAATGCCTGCCGCCCTGATCGTACGGCCAGCCGAGAAAAAGAGTTCCTCGAATCTTTGTTACAATGGTGGCAGTTAGGGGTGGCATTGGTGGGTGGGACTAAGGGTGGAAGCAAAGGAGATGTTCAAACGTTTCTGTTTTTAATAGGTCAAACAGTAGTCCTATGAAAGGCAAGCACTGGTGGTAATTGGATACGTAAGACTGACGCCTGTCAATACTGTCATTATCAGACAGGATAACAGCTGAGAGGTGTGAAGTTTTGACCACTGCTTGCCGATCGGACAAGCGATCCTTGATCCCACCGGTTGGGCCTTTGAACCCCCCACCCCAACCTCCACATCTCCCCTAAATTCCCTTATCTAAGACGGAATTTTTGTCCCGCTCCCTTGCGATTCTATCTTACACAGGTTTGACTGTATAAAGAAAAAATCGGGAGCTGGGCACCATATTGCTATACAGAGGATGTCGTTATATCGAAGGTCGTTATAGAGGGGCTGCACTATATCTGATGTTAGCTGATTCTGCATGTAAAATCTTCCAAGTTACATGTACCTGTCTTCTCTTACTCAAACCTACTGCTAGGTGCGTTTTTGTTGGGCTTTCAACTTATTAAAGTCAGGTGCAGGTGTAGGCCTAGACATCTTTGATAGTTAAAGCTTAATTGAGATAGAGGCAAGCTCTGCTTCACTTATTATATACTTTAGTCATAGAGTGTCCCTTTCATTTGTCAAATTCAATGTCACCTCAATTGGAAAGACAGACTGCAGTCGCAGCAGTTCAAGAGGGTTCAAATCCCTGTCGTCAGACTGGTTGTGAATAAGGCTATTTAGTTTTTAAACCTCCCTGTACTTTGATATTTTGCAGTATAATAGAGAGTACTTTGTGTTCTTTTTTAGGTCGTACTTGTACATATGTGTATATCTGTTGAAAAATACTTCCTGATCCTTTTTTATGTCATACTTTTTAAATAGGAAAATATTTTAAACATTTACTAAGACAAGTAATTCATTGCAGTTGCACATCTTAAGCTTTGAATGTTGCCTCAACAAGTTCAATTCAGTCGACCAAAAACACTTTTGACCCAAAAAAAATTGTTATTTTGTAAAAAAAAAAAAAATCTTCGAAGAGCATTTAATTTTGAAAATGTAAGAGTGTTAGGCCATCCCGAGCTGAGAGGGATCATACATCCCAGCAGAAATGCATGTACCAAGATACAGTGGAATCCTCTTATGTTAACGAGAAGGAGGGGACTGGTGCGAAATGTCCGTTATAGCAGGATTCTCGTTATAAGGGATCGAGTAATAAATTCAAAGGAAATAATATAATAATAGGCCTAATCTATGAGTGTTTGGTGTTCTGTTTATTTCTTTTTGTTATATATATTATATCTGTCATGATGATGATTTTGTTCAAAATGACCTCCAGGTCTTACTTGATCAAAGATCGAATCGGGTTTCTTTCTCTAGCGCTAGCGATGTTGACAGCTCGGCGCCAGCGATCAGAAAGAAAGGGCTCTAGGCTGACCCGTCCGCTGTGTTCTCCCCCACCCTAGACGGTCAAGATTTATGATCGCCAAGCCCCCACCCCACCGCACCCTGTTGTGTGTTCCGTTTGCTTGCGCACATGGGTACACACCACACCCAGCCAACGTCACACATTCACTCCTTCCACCATAGCAGTATGACCTCTCCCTTTCCGCATCGGAGAAGTGAGAGGAAGGGTAGGCCTAGATAATCTAGACTGGCTGACCTATCACGCGATGCGAACTGCTTGTCTGCGCATGCCACACCCTCACCACTCATTGGCTCCGACCTTCATTTTTGGCACACGTGGGCTCTCCCATTCTTTGTTTCGCTAGATCACCAACAAGTTTCATAACTGACGAGGTTTTATTATGCACAGCAGCAGCAATATTCCGCTATAACCGACTCGCGTGTTTGTCTGATTGCGCTACAGTAGTATTTTATTTACCAAGATAAAAAAGGGGAAAAAGCGGGGTTTGAGAAATAGGCCCTATGTGTCTTTATAACAGACTTCTCGTTATTTCATGACTCGTTATAAGTGTGGACTCCACTGTACTCGATGAAAATTTTGCTCCCCTCTCTGGAATTCAACTTCATAAGAAGAGCCCTGACAACACCCGCTGATGAATACCTTCAGCGCGCACTGCATTACTTCAGTGGCTTTATTATTGCTCGCAGTGTCGCTACTAGTAACGGGATCCACTGCGTAAACTGTGTAAGAAGCTGACAGCCACACACATTTTACTCATCGTAAGGACAGCCGGGAAGGTCCTATCTTCTCTACTAACGCTATGTGTTGTATAGTCAAACTACGTTATACACCTCTGTTATACCACCCGCCCCGCTTGCCGCCTGGTTTTGCCATCAATGTACGAAAAGGATCACCTCTATAAAAAAAAATAATATGGTGTTTTTTTCCGCCTTTACACCGTCTAATTAATTTGTACAGTGCTTATTGAACGAGGTGTAAATTTGACTCGCTATACTGCCAGCGAAAGAGTGCCATGGTTGGGGGCTGCCTCTGGTAGGTCCTGTTTCTTTACTTTTCGTTTGTTGTTTCTGTCTATCTGTTCTGTCTTTTTTTTTTCAAGCACTAAATGACCGTTCTTGTGTCAATGTGCTTCTTTATGATGGTATCAAATAAACAAATACAACACCAAAAAACGCCGTCGAATTGGCCGCTAGGGGTATATACTATACGCTTCACTGTTACTGCTTGATAATAATTTTAAAATCATCTCTTTACTGCACCTGCCTTTGCGAGTTCGACCCATGTCGGACGTTTGTCGCCGATTTGCCCCTGATATGCGCAGATTCTGAAAAAACTGCTGCTAGGCTTGTTGTTTTTTGTTTTGTTTTGATTTTGTTTTTGTTTTGTTTTTGGGGGGGTTAGATCTACATATGTATTATGTTTATTTTTTTATTTTTTTATTGGGGGGGGGGGGGGGCTATAGTATAGTGAGTATTTCTTGAAAAAAGTGAAATAGCATTTTAAAGTCTCATTGAGAAACTTCAAAGGAACCGTGCCACCTTGGCCAGTCGGCAAATATCTGATGTCGATGGCACCATAATAAAATACATATTATATCAGTCCAATTATCAATAGGTTAGCAGGTGGACGCACTCTCAAGTCTACGTGAAAAGTCTGAGGCGACCAAGGACTGTCGAGTCCGGTATTAAGTTTTTTTTTAAATACAACGACAAAAGCTGTACTTCTGCAATGTTCCTGACACGTACATCACAAAGCTTCTGATCTATCAGAAATTTCCAATTTTAAACATAGAGTTCAGCTAGAGCTGTAGATCTACGTGCAATTGGTCGTTACTCGTTTTTTGTTTTTCCTTTTCATGGTAATCACTATCCTATCACGCAAGACAGAATATATATGGATGAGTCAAACTCAAACTGGCCACAGTTTGTCTCTAGTTTCTAACATTGTACCAATCTACCACCAGCCAAGATGGCAATCGGTGTCATCCCGTTATGCCGCCAGCCCCGCTGTACAGCCATCTTCATGCTTGTCTCAAGTTAGGTGGGTTTGAATGTACAATTATAACAATGTAATGGCAGTAGGGAGTGCAACAGAACTTTCCGACAACACCTCGCAGGACCGGAGAGACTGATTCGATCTATGCCCAGTTCACCGAGATTTGAAATTATATTATAAATAATATGAACACACATAATATTGCCAGAAGACAGCCTCGCCAGTCAACGATCAACAAGGGAACCCTGAAAGGTTTTCTGCCAGATGATGTTATCCATCTTGAAAAACAAACTAGGGACATATCGGTGCAATGTGCATCTACTACAAAGATATTGGAGCTCGACGTCAAAAATCGAAGAAGATAATCATCTTCCTGCATCCGCAAATTTTTAAAAAAATGCAGAATGAGAGTGTGGCCAACATGACTTAAAAGCAATAATAATTATTCATTTTGTAGGTATTTATAAAATGTATAAAAGTGTCCTCAGTTACTCACTTTGCCCCCCCCCCCCCCCCCCCCCCCGAAAAAAAAATCCGCCGCCCGGGAAAAAATGAACATAAGCTCATAAGTCATGTTTCCCAAAATAGGTCATAATGCACGGTA